TTTTATAAGGTCGAGCACCAACTTTTCTCTTGTAGACTTTAACCATTGCGAATTTTTTATGTTTAATCTAAAACAAAATAAAGTGCCTAGTACAATTTTTTTACACAAAAAACCATCACATGCAAGATCCAAGCATAAAATAAAATACTATTTATAGCCATAGAAAAGTTATGTCTACTTAATTACACTATTAAACTACAGTAGAAACAACAAACGGCAAATCCTACTAAAATTGCTGTCGTCCGTCGCACCTCCCCAAATGGGTTCATAATAACAAATGATACGTGTTTAAAATATAAATACTTCCTGTAGCAACGAATTATTACTTCAATTTCTAGAACACTACCAAGCAGAGCTACATCCTTTATGCAGACATGTCCATCTTTTATAAATACGTAAAAACTACTATAAACAATGTGACTGTATGGAGAGTGTTTTGGTTTTGACGTTTAAGGTCATTCATTGTAAGAATAGAGGATTTCTATATAAGAGAAGTGCAACCAACTTGACAAAATAAAATTGACACTAATGACATAAGAAATCGGGTCACACAAAGAGGTGTTTTTCTTTTAAATTTTTGGTTTTTCTTATCTACTTTTATGCCATTTACATACCATGTTGTACCCGTAACGTAATAAATTATTTTAGGGTATTTTACATTTAGAGGTTCAAGACGTTTGTTAATATCAGCTGTCAATAATGTCAAAACATAAGCGTAGCATTGCGTTTTTTATTGATAATAGTCTATTTGTGTTTCTCCCGGTTTCTTTAAACATGTTTTCATTTGGTTTTATATATTTATGTCAAATGCAAAAATGATGCTACAAAATCAAGTTCCATACACTATACAACCATATATAATACTAGTTACGTTATGCCCATCTATGGTTACGCCAGTGTTCTATCATCACCATAATTGACAGCTGACACTGACAAATTTTTTCACCCTTTTTTACCTTACGGGTTCAACATGATAGGTAAATGGCATAAAAGTAGATAAGAAAAACCAAAAAGTAAACAAAAAAAACAGTCTATTTATGTGACCCGATTTCTTATATGTCATTAGTGTCAATTTTATTTTGTTAAGTTGGTTGCACTTCCCTTGTATAGAAGTCCTCTATGCTCACGGTGACATCACGTTACGAATGTAGTGCGCTAAATGATTCCTTGTTGCTAGAAACTGTTGTTTCACTCTAGATTTCTAGAATGAGGTAAATTATCCATATTTTTTTGTTCCTATTTAAGAATGTGTCATTTTTCCAGTGTTAAATTATTACTCTATATTAGACATTTCCAAACGTCATTTCAGTTAAAATTTTCATTTTTCCAACAGCAACATCCACGATACAAGTTTGTGTATCGTGGAACATAATAATTCATTTACGTTAAATTCACAATATCCCGTCTACTACTGCATGGTAAAATCAATTTCAAAAATTGGCCTTTATTTACATTTTTAAAATATCTTACTAAGTAAACACTTTTATAAATCTCCATCTTTTCCAGTTACTCTAGGGCCGGCCAGTTATCAAAAGAACATCCTGTATATGGAAGTAACGTTAAAATCCTAAAATCTATAAGAGTTGTCTTTCTGAAAATTGTTTGTTCTTAAAGATAATTGATCTTATAACATTTTTTTTAGCAGTATAGCATTTGATTTATCCTACCGGAAAAATTATGCATTGTTGATACGAAGTCGTAACAAAAAGTTCTTTTTATTGACAATACTATGACGTTTATTTGGTAGATAATTCTATATTTTGGTACCTACATCGAAAAAAATGACGAAAAGATGAAAGATCTTTTGTCAATTTTGAATTAAATGGAACCTTTGGTTTTTTTGTAGATGTGGCAACTCCGCCTTACCTGAAACCCGTGTATTGTAAAATGACCACTCCCCTCTATTATTGCTTAGTCGAGGAGGGTCAGATATACATCACCTGCTCTCACATAATTTATGAAGGTGTTTTACATTATGTATGTATACAGTGTGATTCTAAAATAAATTTAAAATAATTTTGTTTTTTTTTTTAATTTTTGTATTCTAGCTGTTCCATAGGTTATATTAATAAAAATATAAAGCAATAGGTAAAAATCAATTTATTTTTGCCTTTATAGACTTGTCAAAAGCATTAGACACTAACAGCCGTATGCATAGTCGATCGCCAGAGGTTCATTTCGGCGTATCGCCAGGATTCGCTGGCGATCCGCCGGCGAAAGCCCAAAAAGCTGGCGACTCGCCGGAGATTGTCACCGGAATGTCATTTCACGCAAGTTTTCATGTTCTTTTATAGAGAAAAATTTGATATTCGTTTATTATTTTTTGAGTTTTAAGAAATGAATCATGAATAAAATGCGAGAGATACAGGTGATAATCCCTATAAAAGAAAATAAAAACTTGCGTGAAATGACATTCCGGTGACAATCTCCGGCGAGTCGCCACCTTCTTGGGCTTTCGCCGGCGGATCGCCAGGGAATCGCTGGCGATACGCCGAAATGAATCTCTGGCGAGTCGCTGGCGATCGACTATGCATACGGCTGTTAGTGAATATCAGGATACACTGCCGGAAAAACTTTTTGTGTACTTCCTAAGAAGAAATGTTACGATTGTTGCGTACGTGATCCGCAAGGAACTGTCCTTGGCCCTCTGTTGTTTACTCTATACGTGGTGATTGTTAAAAATTGGAGCAAACGCCTGTAGCTTAAATGGTTTAAAGTAGAAATTTAGTGGAACTAAATATATTTGCGCATAAGTTGATGCAAAATTTTTTTGGCATGACTAAATTTAGAGCATTAAATTTTTAAGTGACAATTTAGATCTTGATTAAAAAATGTATCGTATACTTATAGTAGGTAATGTGTATTTTCACTGTATATACTAAAATGCAGTAAACCATCGTGTCTGTATTAGTAAGGTGTATAGGATGGGTTGCTTTTCTTAGCTCTTCAAGCAGCCTACAGATCTGATATGGTTGACAACATCGCCAAGAGATGGCTCTCTTATTTTGGCCGGTGTAAGCCAATACTCGCCGTACACAAATCTTCTAAAAGATGAGTGTATGCAATCGTAGAGAATATGCTCGATAGTCTCATCTTCTTATTCGTACCTCCTACAGAGTGTGTAGTTGACAGCTCCATGCTATGTAGTTGCTTGCGTACTTGATAATAACTAGTTAGAGTTATTGTTTGTCTTAGTGTTGTAGAGGAATATCTTAAAAGCTTCTTGGCAACTCCACAGCTTTTTGTATGATCCCACCTTTCTCCGAATTTCACAAGGAAATATTTATTAATTAGGTTTATCACTGTCGATGTTGTTGGTCCAATGGAAGGGCCAGATCCAGAAAGTATTTGGTAAGCTGCCTTATTCGCTAGTCAATCTGCAAAACGATTACCTTTGATCCATCTTAATGTGATCACTTTGTTGATAGATACTTCAGCTAAAGCTTGGTAGCATTCTAGTACTAATTCTGAGTAAATTCGTGATCTGTCCATGGTGAATGGTGCTTGTCTTCTATACATAAATAGATAAGTATCGCGGTTTGGCCAATATACAGGTTTATATCCGTTTATTTGCGTCATATACATATTATACATGTTCATTGTTAATAATGACATGTTTGCCCCATTATGGCGGCCAGAGGTATGGCGTTTTGAAACCTATGATCCAGGGGCATGGATATTAATTACACGTTTGAAAATTCACCCTCCTTAAAAACTACACTTTAGGGGTGGCATACCGGGAATTCAAAGGGGAATAACGTTGTTTATCAACCCCCAATGCCTCGGCGTGGGGCCTATGATAGGTATATGCAAAAACCCTCTCGGTTCCCGGTCTAGTAGGAAGATATGCAAGAGTTTTGAAAATGTACACTGGCAATCTAATGTTAATAATACAATTAACAAACTTGTGTAATCTTTGAAAACGAGAAAATTGGTGGAGGTGGTGGCAGTAATACCCATAGGGGTATTTTCTTGAATAGAAAATTTCTTATTGTGCAACAATTGAAAGAAGACTCATTTGAAGATGAACAATACTTCTGTTTTAGTTAAACATTTACAAACTACATATAACTAATTTAAAAAAAAAACTGTTATACAAATTCAACGTGTCTGTCACAGATAAAATATAAGATAAAATCCTACTATCTTTTGCAGCTTGTCTGCAAGAGTATATTCCTCTGGTAATATCTTTTATTTAGAGCTTCTTTAATCTCACATTTCCTTGGTTTTATTTTAAAGTTTCGTATATATATGCAGCTGCAAAATATAATATTATATTGTTTAGCCTCAAAATTTTTTATTACATTACAAAAATAAAATGTTTGTTCATGGGCATGGGATTAGCGAAAAATATCATAATATTAAGGTAAAATCATATGCACAGCTAGAAATAATTTAAAACCACTCACCTCTATTTCAAGATGTACTCGCAATTATAAATTTACTTCAAATAAGTTTCTTGTATATTATTTAAAATAAATGAACGTTTCTTTTACATTTGTTGCCTTCATTTAAACTCTCAAAATACCAAGATATAGGCTACCAGCTTAACATTTTGGAAAAATGTGTTGCCTAACACTGAATTATCGAAGTTGGGAATCCTACCTATACATCAGAATAATTATTTTCAAATATAAATAAATTAATTAAAAATGTTCGAGCCAAGGGTGGGATTTGAACCGCGAACCCTTGGATCTTCAGGTTCACACTCTAACCACCAAGCCACCCACCCTATGATTTTATAGCTCAAACATTTTCCTATAGTATTTAATTAAATTTTTACCATATTGTATGTAATATGAAAAATGTCTGTCAAAATAAATATTGTTACAGAACATGTAAGGCCACTGTATATGAAAATTAATTAAATTTAATACATATGTTTAGTATTGACTCTTCTCCATGGTAACGGTTGACACATACCTACAAACAAATTGAGTTTTCAATCAGTTTAATGACTATTTTATACATTATTGTTTCAGTTATACTTTCCGTAAAATATGTCAAGTTTTGCAAAAAGACAGTTCATAAAAGTGACTGGTAAGATATTTGTTTTTTTTTATAATATTTTGCATAGCAACACGTATATTTTGAGGAAGAAATCAGAAGTAGTGATGTTACCTACTACCCTATCTAACTATCGCAAAATGTAAACTATAAGTTTTTATTTAGTTAATTTGATATATGAATAAAACATTTTCGAAATTATGTTCAATAAATGATATAGACATTATTATACAGTGTGATCTACTCGAAATTGAACCACAAAAAATTTAAATTATCTGTTCCAACAAGTTTCGTCTGTAACGTAAACGATTAAAAGTTCTACTGTATATACATTATTTCGTGACTCAATATTCATTTTTAACACACTGTTTTTAAGTAATAGTTTCCGAGATATTGGACTCTTTCTTGCACACTAGTAGGGTATAGACAACAAGTGCCATTAAAACAAAGTGTTTGTATACGCATTATTCTTCTCTTTAGTGTCTTAGTGCCTTGTTCATTGGAATCGTTAGAAAAATTAAAAATTTTAATTGTATACAGACCTTCGGTTTGGCGCCCCTTTAGAGGTGGGCCAGCGTGCGGTGCACGCGTTGCGCGCGCGGTTGCGGGGCTCTGGATATTCTACTGATTATTGAAGAATCGTTGTTTACTAAATTTAATAATAAACAACGTAATTTTTCAGGCCTTCATCTTGGAACAACTTTTCTAGAAAACAATTGGGACAAAGATATAATTGGCATGGAAGATTTGCAGAATTTTTTGGAAATAGAAAACGTTATGACATTGTTCGCAGTCATTGAAGAAATTGAAGATAATAAACGAATGAAATTTTTCAAAACTGTAAGTTATATGTACCTAATAATAACAAATCAAATTTTTTGTATTTGTTGTAGTTCACAAATCAAAATTACGAAATGATAATATGTTTCAACAAATGTAAGCCAAGCATTCCATCAGATGATAATTTATTGCGCGATATACAAACCACCACTTTGTCTGGACCACCAACCTTGGCATTGTTTCAGAGTTTGAACATGTTTTCTCCATTATTGCAACAGGTACATATAAAATATTTTAATTTAAATTTACAAATGGTTGCAACAAATGTATCTAACGCATCTTTTACGAGGGGATATTGATATTTAGTTAACTTGGAAAGGTTTTAACAAAAAATGAAATACACTTATATTTTTTAAATAAGTTATCTGAGTTTGACCTTCTTAAGTTGAATAGTGACAGAATTGAAAGGTTCTTAAGACAGTATAAGTCTGTGAAACAACTGGTTTCGGTTAGTTATTAAGTATTTATTTTTGTTAAAGATATTTTTGCTGATAGATAGTCACTTAAGTATATTAGAGTCCTTCGTATGCTACAATTTTAAACTGGATTGCAGAATCTAAGGGAGGAATAATCAATGTTAAAAGTGAGCACAGCTCTGGAAGACCAATTTCTATGACTACTCCGGATAATATTGTGATGTTTGTTTATTTTAAACAACAGTTTATTTAAACACTTATTTATTTTATAACACTATTATCCTAATTTATATATATTTCGAATATCTTTAAACTGTTCACTATTTATCTTCACTGTCCATGTAATAACTAATTGCCTGTGTTCTTCCACCAATATTTATATACAAATTGGTGGTTTTCAGAATGCTCCTCCACCAAAATAGAAACATCTCATATCTGGAATATACCAGAAACATCACGTTGACTTAGGAATGTTCGCGAAAGTGATTCCTCCATAGTCGTCACATATGTTTGGTCTTAAGGGGTTTTCTTATGTATGATATTCGGACAAGTTGAGCCTCAAGGGCCAAATAAGACAGAGAGGGACTTGGAAGATAGACTTAATAATGAAATGGCTCACATAACAATATTGATTCTCTCCCGGATATTCTTATAACAAAAACATTGCATATTTCCTAAGAATATTAGTATATTAGAAAGCATTCGACCAAATGGAGTCCGGGATTTCAGGAAACTTTCGATTGACAACATCAAAGGAAATTTTCTGTCGTTTCGAAGACAATTCCTCAAATTTTTTGATCGGGCTTGTTATTATGGGTTAAATGAAGGTCAATTACTATGACAAAATGATTTAAAGAGTGAAAGCTTTCTGGTTCTCTAGGTGAACTTTTTTGCTTCAGTTTTCTACGATAATAGCTCATTTGGCAGAAGATATTATAATAAGCTTCTAATTTTGAACAAGAACCACAGATGACTAAAAGGAAATGATTTTTGACATTGAATGAACTTACGTGTGCTATTTAAATTAATTGAATCCATGGATTTATTTGTTTAGGTACATCAGGGTACATAAATTTGATTATAGTCACTATATAATCAATTGAATTCGGCAATTATAGGCAGTAAAATATGTATGGAGGAATGAGTGATGAAATGCTGACGTCTATCATGGCTCCAAAATTTAAATGATTTTCAGAAGTTGCGGAACAGGAGAAAATGTTTCCAGCGGAGGGATATTTTAATGTTTTACATGGGTATATGTTAATTTAAAAGAGGAAGAGAGATAGAACGATGTCGCTGAAATTGTGAAACCCGAAAATATATTTTTTGGTTCTACTTTAAGTTTTTTAGCCTCTTGGCAACTATGTTGACATTTCTAACTACAGCATCTAGTTTCCTAAATATGTTGCATTAACACACTTCTCAAGTTTTTATATGCCTAAAATGAATTAATATAATATAAAAATTAACAAAAGCCTATATTTTTTCTGACTTTTTAAATTATTTTTTCAGAAAGATCAACCAAACTTGCTAAGACAAATTGCCAACTTGCAAAATGACCTAAGAACAGTGATTTTTAGTGATAGACCAAGTAGTACCATAATTGAGACGCCCGACTTCTCTTCTTTATCTGGTAAGTAGTTATTTCATAAATATAATAAATGCTCTTTTTACAAGAGGCTGGGTTATAAAAGTCAATACTATACTATTACTCAAATGTAATATTGCTGTTTTTATTTTACTTATAACCTGTTATAAGAAAAACAATATTACAACTACGTTATCTAAATATGTTTCATATTATGGTTTAAATATATCTATAATAAATATGATCCCACAAGAAAAGGGAAGATATTAAAACTAAAACATATATTACTCCTAAACACCAAACTAAACTTTGCAACTGACGTTTAGGTAACTTTTGACGACATGTTAACATATAATTGACACCTAGAAAACAGAGTTGAAAAAGCATACATTACTTATGCAGAAAGCTGCCGAACCGTGAGACACACAGTCTCTCCTCCAAAGTAATCACATGGACTTACCAGGTCATCATAAGACTTAGGGTAACATACAGTGCAGTTGTCTAGAACAAATATAAAGAACAACGTACCCCAACAAAACTCGAGCAAGTCATTCGTAGTCACTCCCCTTCATATTTACATCATATTTAGATGAACAAAAAAAAATTATCAGGAATAATATCACTAGAAAGAACATGCTCATCTATACAGAGAGAAGATAAGCATTACTAAACTTAGGCAGACTAAGAATTTACTTAGAGTTAGTACTAGAATGACACCTTAATATAGACCAAAAGCCACGATACATCAAAAGGTAATCTTTTTGCTAATTTCCTAGCCCCTTCGTATCACCGGTCATGAAAAACCTAATTAGAGAACATTCCCTCTTGAAATTTATGGAAAATTGGATAAAAAAGAAGCTGCAGTGTTTTTAGGGAGTGTGCAAATTAGTCTGACCACAATACAACAAACAATTACTTAACTGTGACTAGATAGAATATGGTCTTGGTCACAGGTATTCTGACTGGTCAAGGTTAGGTACGGAAGCACCTTCATATTATGGAGCTGTCAGACTATCAACCCTGCAGGATGCCTGACGTTCTCATCTATTAAGAAATTAGTGTTCGACTAGTACCGGCTAATATAATAGAGGTACCTCTTGGTGACGTTGTTAACTATATTAAATCTCAAGACTGTCTGATGAGTCAAGAAAGATCTATCAATTTAAAAGAATGTACAATGGACCTAGTGCTGTGGAAGCAAACCAGCCTTCCCACCTTACAGATACCAACATCTCCGCAAATTTCACCTGCATCTGAAATTAGCTTCAACGACTAATACCTTCTCTTGATATACAAACATCAACTTTTAGACCATACCAAATATATCTATATTACAAATAACATTTATTTTATCTCTCATAAATATTGTTTGATTGTCTCTATATGATATTTTAGTTGTGTCATCTTTGGAACACGAAGTGTCTTACTGGAGCACCATTAAACCTACAAAGAGAGATCGACTCACCAAAGTTGCTTGCTCCGCTTTCAAAGATCTTCTTGCCACAATATCAGGAGAATTTAAGTAGGTAACAAATGTAAACATATTTAATCAAAAACTGACTCTAGTATTGTTTTCTTAAAAAATTAAATTATAATTGAAACCTACCATCATATCTACATATTATTAACACAATAATTTTATTCACAGTATTATTGATGCCTTATCCACTATAGATGTTGACGATTTATTAGAAAAATCTCACAATGTATTGGACGATTTATGGAAAAATGAACCGCCGTTTCCTAAAAAACGTATTACTCACATTATGGATATTATAGGTAACCAATCTTCCTATTCGGTTATACTATTTCATTTCTAAATTTAAAATTTATAGGTAACGATATTCAAAAGCATTATTCGGCAATTTTAAAGCAAATAAATGTATGGACTGAAGAATATCTTCAAATATCCGAAGTGTTAAATCAGGAAATAGCTTTGGGAGAAAAATGGTTAACCAGTTGTAGACAACTGACGGAAATTTTTTGGCCTAGCTATGGCTTAAATCCATGGAAAGATGGTATATATCAACCTGCGGAGTTAGCGAATTCAGTTGCTATCCTGAAAAAGGTAAAAAAAGATCAATTACATATTCTCAAGGTCGTTATCAAATAAAATTTGGAACATGGGTCATAGATTGCCCCAAATGCGAAACCCGGCAAATTATCAAAGGATTCTGAATTGAGTATTATGTGCCCATAAAATTTATAATGTTTATGTCGTAGATATTGCCAATTTTAATTATTATCAATTAAACATTGATGCCTTGTACATATTGCCCGGGTTAGTGTAAGCAGTAAAAGTTTCTCTGCGTTTTGTTTTTCTAAGCTTTTCTCAGCCGGTTATTGATCAAGATAATATAAATTCCTTTTAATGAAGGAAACATTTTTTTCTCAACGAATTTTTACTAAAATTCGAAATTAAACGATTGCAAATAAAAACACTATCTGTTCAAAATAGGGTAGTAGATAACTGCCAAATTGTCCACACCATAAAAACAAATTTTGGAACCTATGCCACTGCATTCAATTTTTAATGGTAGTTTATTATTTTTAAAAGTTAAAAGTTTATCAGTGCTCTAAATTACAATTGGAAGTTTTTGCTATTCTACATTTCTCTCCGGTATTTAGCAGATGGTTGAAATATAAATTTATTTCATACAAAAAGAAATATCAAAATTATTAAATAATATAATTTATTCTAGAGCTGCATAATTAGTAATTTTCAAATGAATACCACCAATATCGCCAATAACAATCTCAAACAATTAATCAACTGATAAATTTAACGTAATAATACAAAAATTACATTCGCCAATATGGCCAATAACAATTTTAACAATCAATCAACTGATAAATTTAATGAATGATAATCTTGAAAATATTCACAGGAATAGTCAAGCCACAGGTACTTCCGTGGTACTTTTAGTGAGCGAACCCTACTTCTGATGTTATATTTTAATAATTATTAAGTCTAATAATTATTTAGTTACTATTTTATTTGTATATATTTTTTAAGATGAATAAACATATTTTTAGGTATTAGAAATCAGATCCCTACACAGACAACTAATGAAACTTTTGACACCTTACGAACAAGTCGAACTTCAAACTGAAGACATACTGAAAAAATTTGAAGGTAAGATACGTCATGTGAAATTTTTAAGAAACTAATCCCAAAGGGCGGAAGGGGGGCTAAAAGGAAACAGAAAAATCAGAAGAAAAAAACGGGTAGGGATTTGAATCTTATCACATCTTTTTATCCAGTTTCTCAATAGTTTCTTTTTTATTTAAAAGATATAGATGTGACAATGTTTGGACCAGAAACTAGTTGTTTATTAACAAAAGCAGAAAAACAATTCGGATATATGATTCAACCGGCGGAGCAAAGGATTGCAATTAAACTTAAAAACCAATTAACTGGCGTAAATTCTAATATTCGACAGGTAAAAATTTTTGTTTTTGAAATAAATATTTTTTAAATAAACGAAAAGGACAAATAGGTACTTAAAATTCGGCTAAAAACCATCATCAAATCCTTCGTCATAAACCCGGAAATGTTTAGCTGAGTTTCATTACATATTGAAGTAGTTATCCATTTTATTTAGTTAGTATATATGTTACGGTCAAAGTTAATATTTTGGTCTTTAATGATATTGGCCGGTCATTTTCGTAAATCTCCTATTTGATTAGGCATTCTGCTGACGTTAGTGTCCGGTCAATATCATCAGTGCCCAATTTACAATACTGCCCGTAACATTTCGTGACTATTAGCTTAAAAAAAAATAAGTTTGTAGGCGGTAGTTTTGATATAATTGTTTTTTTAACTACATTTATTTAATATTTCAGTTAATTTACGAATATTCACGCTACGCGGAACTAATAAATCGTCCAGTTCTTCGCCAAGAATTAATTCAAGAAAGACAGTTTCTTTTGGTATCGATTTACGATTATTTAAAATCGATACACACAGAAGCGACATCAGAAAACTATACGGTCGCCACTCGCTACGACACTCCCGAGGTGGTAAAAGATATCATTCAGATCAGACAATTGGAATCCAAAGCGAGCGAGGTGCAGAAAGTGTCGCAAAAATTACTTCAGGTACAATTTATTTTTAAGAATATTGTTGTTTATTATCTCATAATAAAACCGTTAGTTTTAATATATTATGTATAAGGACGTTCATTAGAGCCTGTGTACATAGAAAAAATGAAATTTTATAGAGAAAAATATGTATTTTCTTAAAGATATTTTCTTTAAATCAAGAAATAACTTCTTAATTAAAAATTGAAAATTTCTCACTGATTTTGGTGTTATTCTTAAAATATATTTTTAAATAAAGAATAATCACGCCATATCTAAATAGCGTCAAAAGATCTTGAGTATCCTCAGATGGATGTACAGAATATGATTTTACCAGGGTAACATTAACGGATTTTATTCGTTACTATTACGATAAAGCATAAATCACAAAGAAATAAATTGTTACTTATTGGAAAAATATCGGAAATTACTATTCTTCTTCTTTTTTTATGAGTTTCGATTTTACTTTAGAAATATTTTTTCTGTCATGTATCATTTACTGCTTTAACTTTTTCCAATTAAATTAATTTCAGGATCTTCAGGGATACGATGATTTAAATCGTCAAATACTTGATGTTACGAAAGATTTGAAACAGCAGCATAACGAACTGTTCGAGTCTTGGTGTGCTGAAATTTTAACGTACATAAAAAATAACGCTTTGACTCTTAAAGAAACTGATCCCGTCGTTGAATTTTTCGCAAAGAAGCTAATGCGTGTAAATTTTTCTCCGAGATTGGTTGTTCTTATTTCTGAGGTTAGGCAACTTGGAGCCATGGGGTATCAAATACCTACATTAATAAAGGAAACTAGTGACCATGCGAAGAAGTTTATGAAGTTTGCAAGAATTTTAGAACAGGTAATATTAAAAATGGTTTAAATACTACTTACTTTTGATTGGTTAAACTTATTTTCGGCAAGTCGTTCGGAAATTTTGATATTTTGAACAAAATAATATTTATGTAACGTAATAATATTCATGTAAGGAAATATCATTTATGTAAGGTAATAATATTTCTGTAAGGAAATAATATTTCTGTAACGTATACTATTTCTTTAAGGTAATAATGTTTGAAAGTAAATATTTTTGTTATGAAGTAATATTTCTGTCTTATTTGAGAGTGATATTAAATTTGACACAATTTTGCAGTTTTATGTAAATAAACACTAAAATTAACGAATTAAATGAATCTGTAGTAGCTTTTAAACCTACTACACCAGAAGTTACTCATTATGTAACTAATATGATAAGAAATTTGTAAAACTGGTAACATATAACATACAAAACAATTGGTTCTTTTTTAGAACCGACTCTTTGTTAAGATCCTTACTGTAATATTTTTATGTTATATCTTGTATGAGGTCGCAAAGAAAGTTTAGTCTACTATTCGCTTGTACAATAATAAATCGTTGTTTGTCATTATTTTCGTTGGCATCGAATTTATATTATACCCACTTACAGAAGATATTATTATTTGTTCTTTCAGATAGCACATTTTCACAATACCATCGGTGATCAAATGATTCCATGTCAAAAACCCATGATGCTTAACAGTGCATTGGATTTATCGAAATTGGTTCAAGAACAAGAAGTAATTTCTTGGGGACAAGAGAAATCAGTGGAAAAATATGTCAACACGTTAAAAACTGCAGTTGAAAAACTTTCCAAAGAAAACAATTTATTGAATACGTATCATCATCAGATTTTAGAAAAAGTAAGAGGCAATACGAATTTTGTTTCAAAATTTAGTTGGTTTTGGATTTTTTCTCAACCTTATTAAGAATCGTTACCCAAACGATCAGCTTATTTTATTTTTTAGATACGATATCTAGAAGAAGTCGATCTAATCAAAGAATACAGTAAATGGAAAGACACTGCTAGAAATGTTCGACAGATATTATCCCAAGTAGAGGAGAAAGGGTTTAGAAATATGCAAAGTTGGAAAAAAGAATTAGACAAGGCTCTCGCCAAAATTTTAGAAAATCAGTTCATCGAAAGTCTGGATACTCTTCACATTTACCTACCAGAAATCCGTACTGATTTGATATATAGACATTCGAAATTGGAATATTTACCGGATGAAACGAGTTTAAGAAAAACATACGACCAGCAGTTGAAGAGATTTTTAGATATTCCAAAGCATTTTAGAAATATATCTGAAGAAACAAATAGTGAAATATACGAAAGTATAATAGAAAGGTAAGTTTTGTTCTTTAACATAAAATTCGGCCTTGTCACTTTTTTTAATTGAATCCTCGCTAACAATCAGATGACATCATTCTAAGAAGGATCGAAACTACTATTAACAGGACCCGAACCCCAACTAAATCCAACCACACCTGCGTATAACCGACAAAGATAAATATCACTTTGCTAAATTAAAATTTTTTATTTATACTACTAATTGATTTTTTTTTTTTTTTTTTAGAAATCAGCCAGCTTTGGCTGAGGTTGTAAAACGCACTGATGAATTATTTGAACAACTAAAAGCGGTAATGACGCACTGGCAGTCCTGGTTGCAATTAGAAACATTGGATACGTCCAAGTTGACTAGTTGGCAACACTGGGATCTACATTTTAGGGCATCTAAAACTTTTGGGCAGGAGATTGCGAAGTTACCAAGGTTAGTAACTACACCGTTATATATTCCTAGTACAGATCTATAACTTACTTTAAAATTAGATATCTCGGCAAACGTTTGATCTAGGAATATAAATATAATATTAATATTGGTAATTTTAAAATTTTAAAAATCAACTGACATTTACCCAAATAAATAAAACAATATTAAAATTAGTGGTAATTTATGTTATGCATAAATATTATTTTTACTTATTTTAATTGGTATACTTATTTTTTTATTATTCATTAGGTATAACTTAAGGTGTTGTCCCCTGTCAGTCTTTTTCTTTTTTTTTCTGTTTTTCTTTTTCCTTTTTTCCATAATTATTTAAAATTTGAACATATAATAAAATACAGTTTAATAAAAATGTAATCAAAATTGATTTCAGCGAGGAAGAACGTGTCGGTTGCTTCGTTGTTGGTCTCTCACGATTGAGATCCGATTTAGAATCGCATAACAGAAGTTACTGGGACCAATTGGTCCATTCTCTTAAAAATGCTTTATCGCAGGACGTAGTAAAACTTCAGAATTACGTAGACCATTCGACGAACGCTCTTACAAAACAACCGGTCACCATAGACGAAGTTGGGGAATCTGGAGCCATTCACTCTAATATTTTGAAAGAAAAGCCCGAGGTAAATTTGAATAAATTTTTGGATATTAAATTTAACGAGGTTCAAACAAAAGTTGTATTGATTTGAAAACAATTCTTAAAACATCAAAGTGTTACACTTTAGCCTGTATATCATGTATATCCAAAACGATTTTTAAAGTATGCCCTTTTAGAATCCATAAAACTTTTGCTGTTATTATACTCTCCGTTTTTTAAAATTATTTGTTACCTGCTTCCTTTTACTACATGTTAGATTTTATTAATTATTACCGATAGAACACAATGCGCGAGAATCAGCCAACAGTCACAGCTGACCACACTAGACACTCAAGGCGACTAAAATAGTTTTGCCTGGGGAAGCGCCGATGACGCTCTTGACTGCCGATGTTCTCTACAATACTACAATTAGTAATCACACAAAAATTTGTTTACCTGCGAGTCTGTTACGGTGCTTCCTCTTGCTCTGTGTTTACTTCAAATACTATCAAATATTACTTATCACTTTTTTCTATAAATATGTTGCTATAAAAACTCATATAAATTTTGGACTATTGAATAAATATATATTTTTTAAGATGGAGGAATTGTTTACGGAGATGTCCCAAAAAGCGCACACATTATCCAGCTGGTCTAGGGAACAAGTTGTCGTCGTAAATAGACTTAAAGGAGCTTGGGACCGTTTACAGAATCTGTTAGATAATTACCAACATATCATGGAAAAACAGGTATCATTAATAATAATCTATATACGTTATCGACATTTACATATTTTTATAAATAACTGCCAAAAATATTGTGGAGTCTTTATGTAATATGTAATTGCAGATAATATTTATTTATTGTTAATTTAGAAAGCAATTTTTTTGGAATAATTTTATAAATTAATATTTGTTGTATTTATACAGTTGGATATTATAAAAACAACGCTTAACGTTGATAGAGAAAATCTGGATAAGGATATCGAAAGATTCAACGCCAAATGGGAAGATATGAATCCGCGACCACATTCTGGAGAAATTTTTAGTAGCAGTCTTCAAGATCTCGTTAAGCACTTAAATAATATTAAAAACAAACGTGTTGAATGGACAGAAATAGAAGCAAAACGTAATATGTTACGGTAAATATTTTAGTTTTCTACTATTTTTAATATTATCGGTTTTTTCGAAAATATATATTTTTAGTGAGAATTACGTAAAGTTTAATCTAGAACAACCAGAAATTGCTTTTTCGAAGGAAATAGAAGAAAGTCTTACATCCGAAGAAAAGTCCTGGTCTGTATTTGAAGACTTTTATAAAGGTATATTCTTTTTTTTTTTTTTCATTTTTGACAATTTAATTTTTTTATTTAAAACCAAAAAAAAAAAACAAGAATTACTCAAATTCTTGTTTTTTTTTAGAATAATTTAAAAAATTTTATTTGTTACAATTTAATTATCTGCCCAAGTTGAGTTCAGTAATTAATGTTATTTAAACAATAAAAATCTTATTTTCCGTAGAATTTGAAGAAATTAAAAATGAATCTTGGATAGTATTCAGGAAGAAAATATACAAATTAGAAGAATTTTTGAAATTGTGGCGAGATAAGTTAACAAAAACAGACCCTTTGCATTTGGAATCTAGAATTTTACAAGAAATTCACAAATACGAGGTAAAAACAAAATGAATATTTCTTTATTTAAAATATAACTTACTGATTATCATTTTTAGACCGCAGCTCCGTTATTAAAATTTATCAAAGGAGAAGATTTCGTAGAAAAACATTGGATCGATATTTTTAATTTATTAGAAATGCAAACAAAACCCGTGGATCAACTTATCTTAAATGATTTTTTGGAGGTCTCCGATAAAATACAAAAGAACCTTAAAGAACTGCAGGTACGAATTCCTCATTATTATTGTTTTATTAGAGGCTTCGCTTGAGGCTTTATAACCGCTTTAAGTAAACATTCTAAAAAATCTAATTATACAATAAAAATATTTTTAAACTATACTAATTTTGCTCTTTCCTATCTGAAATTTATCATTCTTCATCAGAAAAAGAATCTAATGTTTTTTCCAATCTTTTCTTTTTCTAGCTCTTTTCAGTTTTATTACGACCATAGTAATATTTCCAAAACTTTCGTTCTTAAGGTATTATACGTTGTCTGGAAATAAAGATAACTATGTAAGGTACCTATGTTACGCCCACATGTTCAGATTTAAAATTTTACGTCACTCTCTATCGCTGCCTGTCTACATTATTTATTACCTGTTGTGGAGCCTAGGAGTTTGGGGTTAAAAATAATATAAATATGGTAGAGGTAGGACTTTATTTCCACTAACAAGGATGCTCGCATAATTAGGATCGAACTTCCTTCAGGTAAGTCGTTTGATCCATTAATTATACTTCACATCCTTGTTAGTGGAAATAAAGATAACTATGTAGTTGTTTAGAGGATGTTCTACTCAAAATAAAACTAGATTTTTGCTTTCTACGTAAATGTATACAATAGAATATGCAAAAAAAATATTACTATAAATTTTCCACAAAATTAATAATACTAATGAATTAAGCATTAACCAACATAACAAAAAATAATATTGAATTTTAACAATCCAGTTTTATAATTTTTTAATACTTTTGCTAACGTTGGTTTTACGTCTTAATTGTAAAACTTGTTAAACACTACTGATCTCTTTGTTCTTCAATTTTTCTAATGGTTTCGATATTGACGCAGTTTATGAGCACGGTCGAGGTACATACGTATGTGTACTAAGTGTTTGGGCTACCCACCCAATAGTTTAGGAAGATACTGGATGAACTGGAGCGTTAGTGGTTAGAATAAAAGGTCCTGAAGACCTGTGAAACTTTTTTTTTCCTCAAAAAATAAAAATTGTTTTTGCCGAGCATAAATTGAGGTAATTCGTGGGGAAATGAAAATACTAATAAAGGCTGGGCTCGTTGTGGAGTCGAAGTTTTAGCATTTCGTCAATGAAAATTTGTATATTGTTAGGTTCCACCTTGACATTAGTTATTTTCAGGCCATTTCGAAGAAGGCGGGCAGCGAAATAATTATTAGACAAGCATTGGCTGAGCTCGAACAATGGGACATTCACAGTAGATTTGTTCTAACTGCTCACAAGGACTCGAAGAGTAAAGACATTTCGTTGATAAAAGATTTTAAAGACATTTTAAATAAGGTAAAGACATTTGAACTTTCTATTTTTCAATTTACGTTATAGATGTTTTAATTTTCTTCTGCCAAGGTCTTATTCATCGTTTTGATGTCTCATATTTTGAATATCATATTTTAATTTAATTAAAAGTACGCTAAATTTCAGTAATGCGACGTAAATTTTCATTCGCTCGCTTCAATTTTTGATAATTTTGAGAGTCAAACAATTTAACATTTCAGATTGGCGATAATCAAAGTTTATTACAATCGTTAAAAAATTCTGCGGATTACGATTCATCTAGTGAGAAAGTCGGTATGTGGGAGAATAAATTTGGAGATTTGGATAATTATTTGTCATCGTTAGCTAAAATTCAACGAAAGTGAGTATTAGCTGTTTTGAAATAGTAAATAAATACATATTCTCAATTTAGGTGGTTGTATCTGGAACCAATCTTTGTCAATGGAACACTGGCTCAAGAGAAAAATCGATTTGAAAGAATCGATAGAGACTTTCGACATATTTTAGGTTTCATTGAAAAAGATCTTCGAGTGTCTGCACTTTGTAGATATCCAAATTTAAGATCACTTCTTGAAACTACGTTGAATCAGTTGGCTAGATGTCAAAATAATTTAGATGAATTTCTAAAGGTACGTTTATTCTCTATTTTCACAAAACTTTTATTAGTTTGACTACCCTATAAAATTATTCAAAAAAAGGCAAAAATAATATAAGATATTGGGTGTTCTATTATAAAAATCGTTAAAACTTTGTTTGAAGCTATTTTTCGTATTTGCAATACAAATTGAAATATTGGGGAAAAAATAAGCATTTTTATTCTTCAAGAGATATATTTTGTTAGTTTATTTTATCTAATAATTGTTCGCATCAAATCTTTAACGATTTGTTTTTTTTTTTTTTAGGAAAAACGGAAAAAGTTTCCAAGATTCCTTTTTCTTAGCGACGATGACTTATTGGAAGTCGTCGGACAGTCGTCAAAGGAACAAGTCATACAGACTCATTTAAAAAAATTATTTGTCGGTATCAATAGCGTAGAGTTATCAATCAGTGGACAAGAAATTATTTGCATTTGTTCTTTACAAGGAGAAAAAATTAATTTATCGAATAACGTGCAAATTAACAAACCAGTAGAGGTAATATATTTTTTATTCGCCGCCACCAGAAAATTTCAATCCATACCTAGCTACGCCGACCGGCATAAACACTAACGGCCTAGACACAGCTCACCTACTCTGTCAAGACGTTTCGCGTGTACCTAACTTTTTGAATTGCGTACAAGTTAGCGTGTACCTAGACACTGTGTTTTTAGCCAAATAATTTCCATTTCGTTCTCTAAATATTTGTTAAATTTCTGTTTCAGATTTGGCTCAACGATTTAGTAAAAGAAATGCAGATTACTTTAAAAGAGCTGTTAGTTAATTGTCAAAAAGAAAAGCAAGCTCCCGATCCCTTATTATATCCTTCTCAGATCTTATGTTTGTCGGAGAGTGTCACTTTTACAGCAAAATGTGAACAAGCTATCTCTAATATGACATTGCAGACACTATTAGCTAAATATAAGGTACACAAGATTAAGTATTTCATGTTGTTATTGTAGACATTTCGCTACGACAATTTATCGCCACAAAAATAAAATAAAAATTTATTATCTAAATAAAAGTTAGATTTATACAGGGTGACCCATAAACTAAAGATTATCTGAATAAAAATAAGACGATTTAAAAATTTTACTGGTTTTCAAAAATTATTGATGGCTATAATTTTCTTTATTTCACAGTACAATTCGGATATCAAGACGTTAGATATAAGAGTCCTCATAAAACTCTATAAAACAATAAATTATTAATATTTCAGACCCAATTGGAACATTACAGTTCGCTCGAATTGAATAGAAGCCAAGAAAAAACTGACGGAGAAAATGTATTAGAGTTAAAACTTAAAGCTTTATTACTCGATACGATTCACTTTATATTCGTTATTGAGGAACTCATAAGGAATAATGTAACAAAACATTCCGAGTGGATCTGGCAAAAACAACTGAGGTAACCAACGTTTCGTCTTTTGTTTTTTTTTAACTAATTTTAGAAAATTTCAAATACTTTTTAATAATAAGAGAAACAAGTTAATCCGAATGTTATATATAATAAATGGTGATAAAAGTCAAACCGCACACACCCACAACTTGTTCTGTCTGTAAGGTTTCTTTCTATTTTTCCAAATTTTCAGCTAAATTCTAAGGCCTGACGAAGACATATTTTTTGACTGAGGTGCTACATTTTAAGAACGATTGAAGGAATACCATTTAAGATAGACGACTAGTTAGTAAAATAAGTTTTAGCAGATGACCTTGTACAATTATTATTGGTAATTAAATTAGGAGAACGATTTAAAATGTAGTAAAAAGGCTACTGAAAAATAGGCTTCAGCAGAAAAGACTTTGGAAAAGTTCCAACAAGTATTAACCATTTGCATTTTGTACCAAGACAAATTGATTCTTGAAATACTAATAAGGTCATACTGTTTTCATGAAGTTTTTTATCATTTGCAGCGCCAATTTCATAATGTTTTTCCAGTCCCACTTAGTTTGTGAATCTTCTGTATCTTTGACTGTTCAAATTATGTTTATGCACAGTGGAGATAAAATGCTTAGCCAAAACACTATTATTATTTCAGATACTACAGCAACTCTAGTGGAGAAGTGACAGTCAAAATGGCAAATTCCAGAATGGAATATTCATACGAATACCTAGGAAATACTCCGAAATTGGTTAGAACTCCACTGACAGAAAAATGCTTTTTGACACTAACCCAGGTAAATAAAGGCTATTAAATGAAAATATGTAAAAAAATTATTTAAAATTTTTTAGGGAATTCATTTGGGCATGGGCGGAAATCCTTATGGACCAGCTGGTACGGGAAAAACTGAGTCCGTCAAAGCACTTGGACATCTTTTGGGTAGACAAGTTTTAGTTTTCAATTGTGATGAAGTAAGTATAAATATAATTTTTATAATAATAACGGTAGTTATTAACATTATTATTTTTAGGGTATAGATGTCGCTGCGATGGGTCGTATTCTGATTGGATTGATTAAAACTGGTGCATGGGGTTGTTTTGACGAGTTCAATCGATTGGATGAAGCAACTTTATCGGCAATTTCAATGTTGATTCATGCCATACAGGTATCAATTAGAAAAGATCAACACACTGTTCAGCTGTTAGATCAAGAAGTAAGTTAATCAAATGATTTTTTACGACAATATTACCCTAAGTACCCATTTATAGGTTGCAGTAAATAAACACTGCGGAATTTTCGTAACACTAAACCCCGCTGGTGGTGGATACGGGGGCAGGAATAAATTACCAGATAACCTTAAACAATTGTTTAGACCAGTAGTTATGACCCATCCAGATAACGAAGAAATCGCAAGGTCTTTACTACATTGTGAAGGTTACAGAAGTGCCAATATCATTGCTAAAAAACTAATTGAAGTTTTTGACATATCTAGGTAAGTTAGAGGTTTAATTTCAATATCTACAATAATTATCATGTTGCCTCAGAACTTAGTTGTAATGTATAGAATGATTTTTCGCAAGTGGGCGTTAATTTCATAGCCTTAAAATGATAAAGATCATTAAAGCGGTTCATACTATATTTTAGCAAACTATTAAGCAAGGAACAACACTACGATTGGGGCCTCCGATCCATCAGAACTGTATTGACTGGTTGTGGACGAGCACTTAAAAATGTACGATCTCAAAGCAAAACTATTGATGTTAATGAGGAAATGTCTATGGTCGTGCAAGTCCTTAAAATGGATACTCTATCTAAACTTTCGTTTTCCGATAGTACTAAGTTTATGTCGATTGTACAAGATGTATTTATGGAAGTCGCTATTCAGGTGACTCAAGATGATTTATTAAGAACGAACATTGAAGCTTGTTTCAAAGAGATGGGTTTGGTCAAAAATGAAAGACAGGTTAGTTGTAATTATACATTTTATTATTTTAAAATTATATTGAAATGTTTCTAATATAGATCAACAAATGTTTAGAGTTGTATGAACAGCTTCAACAGAGGATGGGTATAGCGATAGTCGGACCTCCAAAATCTGGTAAAACTACCATTAGGAATCTTGTTGTCAAGGTAATTCAAAATTAGATATACAGTGCGTCCATAAAGTAACGCATAAATTCATTATTGGCTAAATGAACAATAAAATTAGGAATTCCCAAAACAGGTCGATTTTTGATTTCAATTTACTATTGTTTCAAATCATAATCTAATATACAGGGTGAACCACTTTCGTGTAATGACGTCATCACCATTTTTTTCAAATGGAACCCCCCCCTTTTTTTTCAATTTCCAAATTGCCTTTGCTGAGCTGATTCCAAAAATGTATAATATGTTGCTTCAAATTGGTACAGGGTGGGCAAAAATGCAAAAAAAAATATGAAAATTGTTTATGGAAAGTAATACGTTACTGAATGTAATAAACAAATTAAATGGAATTATGTAGTTATGCAATTAATGTGATACACTTCCAAAAACAAACAAACGAACGAAAATTTACAATAAATGTTCAAATTGTTCTCCATTGACCGTTAGACAATGACTGAATCGGGCATTACTTTCGTCTCTAACATTCTGTAGCATAGCGGGTGTTATGCTCTGTATTTCTTGTCTGATTCGGTCTTGTAGTTGAGAGATATTTCCAGGTCTGTTGAAGTAGACTTTAGATTTTAAATAACCCCATAAAAAGAAGTCTAATGGGTTCAGATCAGGTGATCTAGCAGGCCATTCCACTGGTCCCCTTCTTCCTATCCACCTTTGTGGAAAGTTGTGTTTAAAAAATTGCGCACAGCTACTGCGTAATGTGGCGGTGCGCCATCCTGTTGAAACCAGATTCTGCGGTCTACATTAGTGGGTATTTGAATATCAGGAAAAAGCTGGATCAGATCAGGAATTAATGTATTTTGTAGGAAATCCAGATATAATGCTCCTGTTAAGTTTTCATCGAAAAAATATGGACCAATAATTGTATTTCTCACAATACCAGCCCATACGTTAGTTTTTTGTGGTCTTTGCGTATGGTACTCTTGCATCCAGTGTGGATTTTCATCAGACCAATAACGGGTGTTTTGCCGGGTAACATGACCGTTCAAATAAAACGTTGCCTCGTCCGAAAATAAAACGTTATCAATGAAATTGTTATTTTGGTTCATCATATACTCGCAGAATTCAGTTCTTCGGTCAAAGTCGTCTTCAGCCAATTCATGGATGAGACGTACTTTATAAGGATGGTATTTTACCTTTTTGAAAATGTTTGATACTGAAGACTTTCCAATACCAAGATCCCTAGATAATCCTCGCACTGTACAGTGTGGATTTTCTACAGCCGACAAAATTATGTCTTGTTGAATATTTTCATCAATTTTTGGTCTACCTTGCCTTGCTGCATCCCTCACATGTCCTAATTCTCTGTATTTTCGCTCTATTCTACTTACCGTAGATTGTGAAATAGGTTCACGATCTGGGTGCATTTCATGGAATAATCGGCATACCTCTTGTTGAGTCCGCATCTTATCGCCAATACCAATCATCATTAATATTTCAATCCTGTTACTTTCGGTTAAAGGCATTTTGTAAAAAAAGTTCACGAACGTACCTTCTCTACAGCGTTAACAATACGAAACTGTGCTTCAATGTTTTTGACAGTGTTGTCAAATAAAAAAAACTGGTATGTCAAATAAAAAAAACTGGTAAAAGATAATGCCAAACAAAAAGATTTGTATAGTCCAGGGGCTTGGATCACTAATAAAAGCTGTAAGATACAATTATTAAGAATAATGCTGTATGTTCTTGATAGTTTATCAAAGTAGTTGTAATAACAATACGTAATTTCATTTAATGTGTTTATTACGTTTATTCGTTATTTTCATTACTTTGTAAGTAAATTTTTGCATTTTTGCCCACCCTGTACCAATTTGAAGCAACATATTATACATTTTTGGAATCAGCTCAGCAAAGGCAATTTGGAAATTGAAAAAAAGGGGGGGTTCCATTTGAAAAAAATGGTGATGACGTCATTACACGAAAGTGGTTCACCCTGTATATTAGATTATGATTTGAAACAATAGTAAATTGAAATCAAAAATCGACCTGTTTTGGGAATTCCTAATTTTATTGTTCATTTAGCCAATAATGAATTTATGCGTTACTTTATGGACGCACTGTATTAAGGATATGTAACACTAATTTATCTATGTAACTAGGCACTTACAAAAATAGGGAAATGCATAAAATTCTATCCATTTAATCCTAAGAGTTTGGATAGAGCTCAGCTATTGGGTAAGATGGATATGAATACAGGACAATGGAATGATGGTGTTATAACTAAATACAGTTTGCAAATTACTGCAGAAAATTCAGGTAAGGACTATTTGCTTAATTAACAAATAAATAGTATAATTGTTAATAGATCTAAGAGGTCCTGTTGAATAAGCGTGGTTTAGGTCAACAGAATAAAGCCAAATATATCACTTTAACTTCTTTATTATAATAAAAGAACAAAAAGGCTTGTAACAGCAACTTAACACAATTATTAATTAATAACACTTGACATTTTAGAAAAATACGGAGCAAACGAATGACAAGAATGACACGTTCCTAAATATAACCATGTTCAGTAATTATCTTTTGTTTAATTGGTAATATCAACAGGTCGCACGTAGGCGTCAATTTTAGAACGTAGTCGATTAATTTTTATTTTAAATATTTTTTATTTCAAGATATATGGTCTTGGATTGTTTGCGATGGAGATATAGATCCAGAATGGGTTGAATCGTTAAATTCTGTATTAGATGATAACCGGTTGCTCTCTCTGCCTTCCGGTTGGCGTATACAGTTCGGACCGAATGTCAATTTTATTTTCGAAACACACGATTTAAGTAATGCTTCACCGGCTACCATTTCAAGAATGGGTATTGTACTATTAAGTGAAGAAGATCTTGACGTGCAATATGTCCTTCAAAGTTTCGTTGAAAAATTACCAGAGGAACAAAAACCTGTACTCGGACCATTATTAAATGACTATTTTGTAAACGGTAGGAGAAAACATAACTAAGAACACTAGTTAAATTAGGATTTATTTATTGCTTATGTTGTAATTTTTAATTGTAGCTGTCAATTGGATAACAAAAGATGGTGAGACAGTTCTCCCTTGTTCCAAAAATGCAGTAGCTGCAACTGGGTTGTCCCAGTTGGTTGATGTAAATAATAAGACACATTTTACAGTTGCTTTGATAAATGGTTTGGGCCATCAATTACAAGATGATTTTAAAGAAATTTTTACTCAACAAGTAAGAAACTTTTTTAAATCGGGCTAGACTCGAATATATTATTTAGAATTTATGTTTATGACATTTCATGCTGCTTATCATGGTAATTCCTGACGTGAATCCAATAATTTATTATTATTTGTAGATATATGATTGGCTGGAAGAAACACCCCCACCTGTTATATTAAGATCTCGTTACAATAAGGACAGATATCTAATAGAATCGTACTACACAAATCCGAATATCACTGTTACTGACGATGGTGTTAAGATACCATTAATTGTTACCGGTCAAATTCAAGAATACTTAGATTGTTTGGCAAATTGGTTAGTTGAATCAAAAGAGCAACACATTTTGCTCGTAGGTCCACATGGTTCGGCAAAGACGTACGTAAATTTAAACTGTTCTATATTTGAACTGAATTGTATAATTATTTATTTTAGCTTACTATTAGAACATCTAGTAAATAACAGAACAAATTTAGAGATAGTTTCAATATATTGCAGCGGAAGTTTGACACCTAATTTTGTCGTTACTAAACTATCACAGGTATAAAATTATGGAATTATTTTAGATAAATTTATTGATTTTATTTATTTTTAGTACTGTATTCAAGTAAATACTCACAAGGGAAAAGTTTTGAGGCCCAAAAAAGGAAATGTTTTATTACATTTCAAAAATTTACATTTACTTAAACCTGATAAATGGGGCACAAATATACTCATCGAATTTCTGAATCAGGTGAGATTGTTTTATTTGAAAAGTTGGGAAAACACATTTACCAAAGTAATAAATTATAAAAAATATTACAGTTTAAACATTTTTATTTTGATTTAATTCTATTTCGCAACGGAGCATAAATGGACGGTTTTAAATCGTGTTTTAACATTTTTTCCAGTTCAATAATCTTGGCTTGTCGCTGTAAAATTTTCGTCTTTAATTTAGAAACTTCTTGTAAATTTTCCTTTTCCTTATCTCCTAATTCTTTATTTGCATCAGCTAGAGTAGTCTCTGAATGTGCTTTCAAGCCTTCATATCTTTTTTCCCACACTTCTATGACTTCTTTATACTCTTCTAGCTCTTCCTTTAACAAATCTTGGTTATTCTTTAATCCATAAATAATTTCCTTAGCTTTTTCGAATTTTTCGAGCAATCCGTTGTAGGAAAACTCTAGATTTTGTAAGTACGTGTCCATTACGTTATTCTTGTTCACTACTTCTTCACGGTCGATCCAAATTTTTTTGAAAAAGTCATCGTAGCTTAGCATTACTTCTTGGAAACCGTTTTCATCTAATGAACTAGCTTTTAGTCGGCATTCTAATGAATGGTTGGTTTCTTTTAGATCGCTAATCTAAAATATAACATGAAAAATAAAACCAATTTTTAAAACCCCAAAGCGATGACAAATTTAGTTAAAAATTTAATTTGAACAAAGTAACTACAGGAAAATTCTTTGGATATTCCCAAATACATTTTTTTAAATTACCCCTACGAAATAATCAAAACTATTTTAAAAACAAAACTGAAATTTCTTTTATGAAAAATAAAAAAGGAGACTGACTTTTCTCTTCTTTCTCTCACAATTTATCTAGTTTTCTCTATACATTTCCTCTGTACAGGAATATACAGCGTTACTTTATCCATCCATTTTTTGATCTCATTTTACCTTGTATCACATAGATTTTTACCACCCTTTAAATTTCATTTAAATACTTTAGTTCCCTACTTATTAGCTCTAAATTCAATATATGCCAGTCTCCCAGCCTATTAATATTAAGCTTCACACACATTACCACAACTATAACGAGTAGAGGTGGTGGCAACTTTCGTGGTAAACAAATTTTCTTCAATAGATTCATTCACTTCTTTTCATTATCTTATGACACCAGTACCAGTATTGATTTTATCCGTTAATCTTATTCTTTCATATAATATTTTTTTCACATATTTTGATTTACTCCTGCACTGTTACACTGCTTTCTTTCTTCTCACCCTAACTCAACATTGAACTCTGCAGGGTTATTCTACTAAATTTATAGCCCGGCTACAAGTTGGATTTTGGCTTGAACTTTATATGTTCCTAACTTCAAAATCCAACTTGTAGCCGGGCTATAAACTTTTAGCCGGGCTATAAATTTAGTAGAATAACCCTGCTGATTTTGTTGGTTTTAACCATTATTTAAAATTAAATATTTTCAATTACAATTTTTCTACAAATTTTAAAAGAATAGGAATGTTCCATTTTGAAATATTGTAGATATGTTTAAATTATTATCCTACACTTAGAAATAAGGAAAATAATTTTGTTTTCTCTTATGTAACTTTCAAAATTATATTAAACCTCCATTTTCAGGCCTAATGATTTCCCATAGTGAACGAAATTAGTTGTTCCTTCATATATTTCAATAAAATTATGTGGTAACCGTCTTTTCCTCATGAGACTGTTTTAAATAGCATTTTTCGACTATTTCTTTAGTATTTTTATTTTACTACATACCTCATTTTCTAGTTCTTTAATTCTTTCTTCATTATTTTTAATAAGAAATTCCTTTTCTTGAAGGACCTCTTTAAATTGCCCAACTTCTTCCTTTTTAGAAAGCATACCTTTCGATACAGGTTCTTGCATTCGAAAAATCTAAAATGGGACACAATTAATATTGCTATCTGAAATTTCTAAATAAAAAATTAGGCAAAACCTCGTACAGTAATGGTTTATTTGGTTTTGATATGAGTTACCTATATAAAAAAATTAGATAAATAAGAAAACATCTTAAACATACTTGTAGATGTTCCTTATAAAAATCACGTCAATAGCTTTGGTTTGCCTGTAAATTTAGGGAGCCATGGCTCAAGCTACTTTTGAAATTTTATATATACAATACGCATTTTTTATATTTTATGAAATTTTGCTTATTATTAGAGAACATTACCTTTAAAATATCCATATCAGACAAAATATGTAGCAATTGGAAAAAAAGATTGACAACTGACAAATTTGGCGGATTTGTTTAATTTTAATTTTATACTGTATGATAATAAACCTCGAACGAGTCACAAACAATAGGCGTGGGTTAGTCTAAGACTAGTTTCCAACAGTTATAGATATGGTGAAGATAATAGAGGGATAGAAAATAAGTTGTTTGAAGTTTAATAGATTTAAAAAACCGGACTTTTTTCGCGCATAAGTATTAGTTACGAAATTTTTTGAATAACGGGAAAGTTGTATTTTAATAAATAAATTAATACCTCTCCTATTGGAAGATCGTATTTTTTGTTTTCATTGATCTTACATTTATCTTGTATAACAACTTTAGCTTGACGTATGCGTTCTTTTTTGGACAGAACAACTGTTACAGGTTCCTGCATTCGAAAAATCTAAAAACGCAACAAATATTTGGAATTAATTACTTTGATAAACAATTACAACAAAACAAAAATCATATCGACTTAAACTTACTTTTAAAATATCCATTATAAAGCAAACAAAATGCCAAATAAAACCACTTAGTAATTTTGACATTGAGAATGACGTTTTATGTATAATTTTCAGATAATCGTATACAGAGGGTTTTTTGATTCTAATGTTGAATTTATTGGAGTTGAAAACGTTACAATTGTTGGATCATTGGAGGCTAACAATAATTTATCGCAACGATTCATTTCTAATTTAAGAATATTTAATACCAGGTACGTACTCTGTTATTATTTGTTACTCTGTTAGAATTTTTAGGAGTTTTTCGATCACATTGTTCAACGATTGGTCCGCATCAAGTTTCGCTGTGAAATCAAATTATATTTTTTTAAATTTAAATTATTTTTACAATAAGTTTAAAACGACATCATATGTCAAACCGTAGTGTTTTGTATCTTTTCCATTTTGTAAATTTTTCTGTACTAACAAACGGGCAATTAAATATCCGAATGGGAAATTTGGTTGGATCAACCGACAACGACATTTGACAAGCATGATTTATTATTGGGTAATCTAGGTTTTCCATAGAAATTTGTATTTACACTATTATAGGGGTTATGATGGACACAGGTTGTTTTAATAAAATTTTCTAGCTTGCCAGAACCCGATGATTTTTCTATAATAGTAGTGGCATATCTTACATCTGTTTTAAAACAATATTACAATCATTTTCCAAAGGCCAAAATTGTTAAACTAGCAGCTGCAATCATTTCGTTGTACGATAAAGTAAGTGAAAACGTAACATAGTTTTAAACTTGTTTTTAATTATTCAGACAAAAAAATTTTACTTTAGCTAAGAAATACATTTAGTACGGTTCATAATAAACATTATTCCTTTACACCACATGACGTAACAAATTTGTGCCACGGAATTTTGCAATATAAAAAGAATGATGATGAAAACGTTGAAGACTTTATTTTAGAGGTAAGCAAACTCACAATATACTCAGAACGATCCACAGTAACTTTGAGATTACAAATTAAGAATTATATAGGTTCAATTCAAATCAATAGCGTCAAATATTAAAAAAAAAAAAGTTATTTATCACACATAACTAACATAAAACCGCCTTTTCGGATCTTCAAAACAAGATAATCAATCCAATCTCGGCGTTCTATGCAATATTAATAAAAATTACTAATAATTATCACTGTATTCCGTTTTAATTTTTGAAGAAAGTATCTGAAAAAATACTATAAGAATTTTTAAATCCGATTCTAATTTTCTCCTTATTCAGTAAACCAGTCTTACCATCCACGAGTCCACGAGTAGAGTACAAATATCGATTGAAAATGCATGGCGGTTGCCATCTTGCCAATCTCGAACCGTTATATCTTATCTACTCCCGTACATGAGTCCTTATTAGCAAATCAAATTTACTTTTAGGTGATAAAATATGAAGCAAGGAACATTTTCGGTAACAAATTGGTCAATGACGACGATCGAAATGTGTTTATCAAATTAATGAATGATTCGTTCGAAGCCCATTGGGGTGCCATCACACCTTCGTCTTTAAAGATAACTTATTATTATGTCGTCGTGGAAAAAAGCTCCAATCGTGATGAAATGGGCGATTTAATAAAGTTAAATGAGCCAGAATGGAAAGAAATGGTACAAAGTGGAATCACTCAAAATGGTAAATTATACATAATACTAGGAATATTCAACCTAAAACGTTCGACAAATGATAGCTCTTGTGAATTAATGAAAAATGAAGTAGGAAATTTAGGTATCTAATTTTTAATATGTAGGGTGTTAAAAAAACAGTGTTCACAAATTATTTTTTTTTTTTTTTGGTAAGTGCAACAAAATATAATACAAAAGTATCAGTTTCATTTTTAATTTTTGCGCTTCAAAAATACTAGTTTTAATAGTTTTAAAACTTCATAATTAAACATAAACAGTCAAATTTTGTAACATAAAATAGTTAAAACAAAATATTTCTACATATTTTTTTAATTTTTACAGGACCAAATCTCCTAAAAAGATCGTCGATTTGGATTCTAAAAATCCTTATTCATATGTCCCATAATTTTCCAGCGCCCTTCTCCAAAAATGTGTAATATCGACTTATTACCTTTTAAGCGCCGACCACAGAATTGTGGGTGGCTCACAGTGTCAAAAGCCTTTGCAAAATCCAGAAATACGCTAAAGATGGTTTGGTTTAATTTACAGCTGTATAAATGTTTTGTTATAAAGCTAAAATAGCATCACATAATTTTTTCATTCTACAATTAGTGTTTTTTCAAAGATTTTTGTAAACATTGTGATTAAACAAATTGATCTATAGTTATTAATAAAAGATAATTGATAAAAAATACGATAAATTATTATGAATTATTTGTACTATCATCTTATAAAAGTTTTAGTAGTCACAGGTCAGTAACGATGCTAGCAAGAGCTGTCGCCTTTCATTCATTCGGTTTGGTCCGGCCCAACACTCGAATTTCTTATCATCTTATTTTATTAACAAAAAAAAAACTACATTATAATTTAAAACTAACAATCATTAATTTATTTTTCAGAAAGGGAAGGTTATGTTTTAGATTTGGTTCTCAATGAAGAATTACTACATCTGACAGCGAATATTTTAAAAACAGTTAATTATCCTAGAGGAAATATACTTTTAATTGGAAAATCTGGTATTGGAAGAAAAAGCGCAGTAAAAATTTGTAGTGCACTACAATCAGCTAAGTTGATTGTTCCTACATGCGATCAACAACCTTTCCTTAATAACGATTTAAAAATGGTAACTATATAAATAAAATAATTATTTTATTCAATGCTAATTTAGAATCTACTTCAATAAAGTAATAAGTAAAATTGATGGAAGTGGGTGGCTTGAGGCAGGTGTCGTCCACTTGACGACTCTCTGGAATTCACCCAGCAGCTAGATCTTCTGGCCAAAGTCTTTTTAAGCGTATATCGATGAGTGGAGGGTTAAAGAGTTCAACTATGAGGTGGTTTGGATGGTTTTCACTGCGATTCATATATTTTCTGGAGTGGTGGGTAATTACATCATCTATGAATGGAATGTTGAGGTATGCATGAAGGATTTGGTTGGAAACGTACCTAGGGGCGTTAGCTAACATTCGAATAGTCTTGGACTGGAACGTCTGTAGTATTTTAGTGTTAGATGTTTTGCTGCAGCCCCACAGCTCAATTCCGTATGTCCAGACTGGTTTGAGTATTGCTTTATAGATTACCATTTTGTTTTCTAATGAAAGTTTCGATTTTCTGTTGATTAACCAGCTCATATTTTTAACTTTTAGGTCGAGGTGCCGTCGTTTAGCTTTAATATGTTCGGTTTTATATAGAACAAATATGATACTACTTCAGTCTCATATATATGAACACTTATTACTCATTGATTGTAGAAAAACTCGTCAGAAATACATATATCATTTACTATTTAATATTTTAGGCTATGCAATGTTCTGGAATTGATAGAGAAGAAGTATACATTTTAATCGAAGACTTCATTTTAAACAAAGAAACTAATATGAATATGTTTAATTCCTTAATTTCATCAGGAGAAGTAAAAAATTACTTAATTATTTTATTCGTCAAATTAATATTATAATTTTTAGATACCAGGTTTATATTCACCTGCTGAATTAGAGTCTATAATAAAGGGGTTAAAAGATGAATCGGATAGAGAAAATTTTGATGGCAGTTTAATACAATATTTTTCCGACAGTAAGTACCAATTTACCAAATGTTAGAATAAGAAAGGTCTTCTAATCAAAAAAATTGTAGGGATCAAACGGTATCTACATGTTATAATTTGCCTTGATGTTGACAACGATCAAATATGGAATATTATCCAAAATTGTCCGTCACTCACCCAAAATTGTTCCATCATTTGGCAATCAGTATGGAGTTATAATACAATTAAAGACATTCCAAATTCAATAATGGAAAAGTACGTAAAATAAAATTAGTTTTTTCTTTCGTCTATACCACAATCTGACGTTTTTCTACGGAAGATATGATAAAAATATGAACTTTAGATTTGTTAGGCCGAAAAAGTATTTTGCGGCCGCTTAATTTTAGTATATTTTTTTTATATTCCGTTTTTTAACGTTTATCTACGTTTTTAGAAATAAATCTATTGATAAAGACAATCTACACGCTTCTAGTAAAAGTTTTTGTTCAGTCTACAATATCACACAATCATCCATTTCAACACCTTCAAGATATATTTCTTTGGTGAAACTCTATATACAAATTTACGAAGACAAAATGACGATGATCAAAACTAAGCAACAAAAGCTCAAAGTAATTAATGATTAAATTTAGTCGTTCGTTTGATGCGACTTCATAAATAAATAAAATTTTTAGGCTGGTGTTTCAAAATTGACAGAAGCTGAAAGTCTGGTGAAGGAATTGAAGCAAGATGCAGTAGAAAAACAAACGAAATTGGCAGAAAAACAAACTAAAGCCAATTCAGCATTAGATATGATCAGTAATACAATGAAGAACGCCAACGTTCACAAAGATGAAATGGAACATTTGAAGAGCAAAACTGAAGAAGAAAGTATACAATTAAACAAGAGGTATTATAACATTATATCTAATGCAACCACAAACTTCAAGATGACCATACCGATATAATTTTTATTTACTATTCCAAAGCCTCCATGAACTGCATAATAACTAGCTTTAACCTTTCCAATAGTTTGATTCAGATCACCTGCTTTTCATTTGTTAGGAATTCCCTAATTTGTCAAGCTCTTCTATTCTTTAAAGGTTTACATTATATGCAGATGTTTTTATTTTCCAGAAAGAAAGATATTGATATTGAGTTGGCTGAAGTGGAACCACTAATGGAACAAGCTAGAGCGGCTGTTGGAAATATTAAAACAGAATCATTGGCCGAAATCAGATCTTTAAGGGCACCTCCTGAAATAATTCGAGACATTCTTGAAGGGGTTCTTAGACTTATGGGAACTCAAGATACATCTTGGAATAGCATGAAAATATTTTTGGCGAAAAGAGGAGTTAAAGAAGATATTAAGTAAGATCCAGTTATATTTTACGTTGTTCTTTTAGTTAAATAATTTAAATAAATCCTTTAGGTCATTCGACGCTAACAGGATCACAAAAGAAAATCGACAGGCTGTAGAAAAACTGATAGCAACCAAAAAGGACTCTTTTGATCCAAAATCAGCAAAAAGAGCGTCTCAAGCTGCTGCTCCATTAGCTGCATGGATTTTAGCAAATGTCAAATATTCCTACGTTCTAGATAAAATCAGACCCTTGGAAAAAGAGCAGATGAAATTGAAAGAGTAAGCAAATATATTCATATTTTTTTATATTATTTATTTCCAGAACAATACTACATCTATGAATAATTTACCATTTTAAACAATTTTTTAGAAATTTATCGAATGCAGAAAATCAGCTTGGCGAATTAAGTGCCGGTCTTATCGATGTTGACACTACAGTATCTAAGTTGAAGGAAAAACTATCTGTATATACAAAAGAAGCCGCCGAAATTGAAATAGATTTAAATAAAGCTCAAGCCACATTATCAGCTGCCGAAGGATTAGTTGCGAAACTTGGAGATGAATATGAACGGTGGCAAAAACAGGTAACGTGGGTTCATTTTTATGAATTATGACAAAGTAAATTCATTGTTCTTTTTTAGCTTCAAGAATTGTCAATGGATATAGAAAAACTACCGAATCATTGCTTAATAATGACCGCATTTATGACATACATGTCCAGTGAATCTGAAGATAAAAGACGGTATAATATAGATTTAAAGTTTTGCTTTTTTTAATAAGATTTGTTTAATTTTTAGTAGGCAAAAAAACATTTGGTTATTTAAAAATGTTACATGTTTTTTTCAGGGAATTTTTGATGAATTGCGCTAAAGAAATTGGTAGCGATTCCATAGATTTGGAGTCGTTTTTTTCTTCAGAAAGAGAACGCATGCAATGGCAAAGCGAAGGTCTCGCTTCAGATAAGTTGTCAATTGAAAATGCCGTCATGATATTAAAGGTAATCCTAATTAGTAGATAAACACGAATATTTATCATATACAGATTTGGAAATATGAGTTTTACAATAAAAAAAAGCATTTTTAATACACTGGCGAGCAAAAAATTGAGGTCACTTCAGAAATTGCGAATAATTTTAGCATCAATATTGAAAAGGACATAATAGTATTAGTAGGCGTTGAAGCAATTGTTTTCCGAGACTTGACAGCTGTCATTCGATTTATTAGAATGCACAAGCCCCCTGTTTGTACGACTTTTATGAAAAATGTGCCTTTACGCTAATTGAACATTCACATTTCCCTTGCCTGTTTCCCAGTTTACTGTTGATTCTTTGTGTAAAAGCTAACGATTGCAAAGTGTAGTGATTTAACAGGCCCTTAATGCCTTTAGATCCGATTGTTGTGGCAAGAATTGTTGCGCTGTTACAAGATGGTCGGGGGCAACGTGAAATTGCAAGAATTGTTGGTGCTAGTCTTCGTGGTGTGCAGAGGATGTACCAGCGCTTTCTGGAGACTGGCCTGATCACTAGAAGACCAGGGTCTAGGCGAAAAAGAGTTACCACTCAACGAGATGACCGTTTTGTGGTGTCCACAAGTTTGCAGAATAAGACAGCTATTGCGGTTTCACTGCGAAATCACTTCGAAGAAGTGAGAAATGTCAACGTTAGTAAATGGACCGTTAGAAGAAGCTGCTGAACTGTCATGCAGAAGAATGGCTATAGGTTCCCCGTTGCAACGCCAGCATCGGACTGCAAGATTGACATTTGCCAGAGATCACGTTCGTTGGAATGATGATAACGACTGCAGCTGGGTATTGTTCTCAGATGAGTCGCGTTTTTGCCTCACTGTGTCAGATGGACGTTGACGAGTGTGGAGAAGACCTGAGGAAAGATATGCTGAAGTTTGCATTGACGAACGTCTTCCATTTGGCTGTGGGTCAGTTATGGTTTGGGCGGAAATCATTGCACAAGCTCGTACAGAGTTGGTCTTCATAGAAAATGGCTCCCTAACTTCTACAGGTACATTACGGAGGTGCTAGAAGACCATGTTATGCCTTTCATGGTGACTATGGGGGAACGTGACATTTTTATGCAAGATAATGCAAGACCACATACAGCCAAAATTGTCATGAAGTATCTGGTTGAGGTAGAAATTAGGCGGTTTGACTGGCCAGCCCGCAGACCAGACATAAATCCCATAGAACATGTCTGGGACTAGTTGGGACGACGGATCCGCAGACACACCCTAGCACCAAGAACTGGCCAGGAGCTAAAAAGATCGCTGTTGCAGTCATGGGATAACATCGACCAGAATGTGATCCGCAACTTAATTCAAAGTATGCCGCGCCGACTTCAAGCAGTCATCAATGCAAGAGAAGGTAATACACGTTATTAGTGTCAAGTTTTTTCATTTTGTTCGTTCCATATTTTCCCTAACAACAAAATGTTCAATTTCGCCCAAAATGTTAATTTGTTGCTTTTTCAGAATAAATCAAATCCAAGAAAAAAATGCATTTCTGTTTAGTATAAAGTATCACATTCAGCTTACAAAAGCACATGCAATGATGTACAGTTTGCGAATACGATCTGAAAACGTAAAATTTCAAAGAACGTGTTCGGATGTGTCCGCTTAGATACTTCAGTGTAGGTCTCAGATTTAGTGGCTATTTTATCCACAGAAAGTAAAACAAAGTCTTTTCAAAGATTATTAAATACATTACAGTAATATATTTTTTTCTTCTAAAGATAATGATTTGTCCACTAGGTCGTTTACACGTACTTGTGCTTGCAATATTTTTTAATATACTCACCATTCTTATATAACTCTAAAATTATAAATTCTGACTTATCTTTTAAAAGAAAAACCATGAAAATATGAATAAATCTAAACGAAAACTTTTATTAGGCCGATCAGATGTATTAATTTTTATTTTATCTACAAATAAACAATGAAGGATGTAAAATGTCTACCTCTTGAACCTGTACTTCATTCTATAAATTAAGTTACTGCACTCCTTGCTTTTCTAGACTATATTTTATGATTTTTGTCTATCTTTTTCTATTGATTTTTTTTATTTATTGGCAACATCTTCAGGATTTCAGGGATCACAAACATTTTTAAAGAAACATCGTCATGAAACTGTATAGTTTTTGTTTTAGAATAATATGGTACCAGTGCTAGTCGATCCCACTTCATCGGCCGTTAACTGGGTTAAACGACATATGAAAACTAAAAACATCGAAAGCATAACTCAGAATTCTCCAAAGTTCCGAGGAACATTGGAACTGGCCATTCGATTTGGAAAGACGCTCATAATCGAGGAAATAGATACGATTTCGACTATTTTATTTCCAATATTGAGAAAAGAATTTGTTTTACAAGGTAAACATTTTGGTAGATAGGATCTTGAAGATGTGAAATTGTAGAAAAAACTTGCCCTTGTGCCGTCTTTTAATTGTTACATCTGTTGTGAAAAGCGTTTCAATTTTTTAGGCGAAAGACGATTAATAAAAATGAATGGAAAGTTGATGGATTATCACAATGATTTTAGATTGATTCTCTCTAGTAGAAATGAGTATGTTACGTTACCTCCAGAAGTTTCTCCATTAATAAATTTAATGAATTTTACAGTAACACATACTGGTCTTACTGGTAATTAATACATAATATTGTTACGTGTTTCTAATAGACGTAAATTGTAATGCTTAATATTTCAGAACAATTGCTTTCTCGGGCGATTAGTCAAGAAAATCCAGAAATAGAGAATAAGAAGAAAAAACTCGTAAAGGAAAAGGAAGAATTTGAAGAAAAACTGGATCATCTTCAAAATCAGCTACTAGAAGACCTGGCTAATTCTTCGGGGAATATTCTTCAAGATATCGTAAGCAATAATAGAAATAACAAAGATTTTAATTCAATTTTCCCATTTTTTTTGTAGAAGCTATTAGAATCGTTAAATCAAACCAAAGCTAGTTCCGAAGCTATCGCTCTATCACTGAAAGAATCAAATGAAATTCAACGAAAATTGGAAACCGAATATGACGTCTATAGGGAGTTGTCCCAATTTGGTAGTTCATTATACTTTGCTTGCAATGAATTTGCAAGAAGCAATATATTATATCTTCTTTCGGTATCTGCTTTTACAGGGTTATTTCTTAGATCACTACAAAGTTTTCAAGTAAGTTCTGCAGGTTAAGTGCCGTGTGTGGTCGTTGTTGGTTAATTTATAACTTTTAGGGCCTGGAAAACAATCTAGAATCTCAAAAAAAGCAGCTTCTGCATACAGTTTATGGATATATGAGTCGCGGGATTTTCCAAAATGATCGATTGAAATTTTTGATGTATATCATCTTCAAGCTATATCCTAAATCGATTCCAGAAACAGAATGGAACGTTTTCATTGGAAATATAGTTTCAAGTAATACAAACAGGGAGAATATCCCACCTTGGATACCAAATCATTCAATTAATAATGTTCAACAATTGCAGGTATTGACAAAAAATATCTTCTTTGATCTAAAAATTTACTTTTGAACTGGCCTAATTTTTAAAATATGCCAGTTTCAATTATATTTTTTTCTCAGTTATACCAATACGTTTATATAAAACAGTGCTTAATAATTCATTTTGTTTTAGACTGCATTGGCAGATTTTTTTATTTCATTAAAACTTGACGAATATAATTTATGGAAAAACTTTATGACTGTTAGTGAATGTGAAAAAGAATTTCCCACTCATTTATCTTTGACAGATTTTCAAAAAGTTTTGGTGGTTCAAGCTGTTAGGCAAGATAGATTATTTTCCGCAATGTCTCAATGCGTCTTAAATTTGACAGGTAAGCTAAAAGCACATTACTACAATATGTATCTAAAAAAATAATTATTTTACTCTTAACCAATTGCAAGAAAAGAAACTTACCTTTATTTTTTTAAGGACTGAAATCTCTTAATCCCCAAAATCTTGATCTTTCGTCTTTGTACAAAGAAAGTGATAATAAAGTTCCTATATTAGTCTTAACTGTATCCGGATCAGATCCAATATCAGAAATAAAAGAAGTTGCATCTACGCTTCTTCAAGAAAATATTGAGGTGAGAAAATAAATACTGTTAAATATATGAATTTGAAATATATTTTAAATGTGGTGATTATATTTAATATTGTTTAGGTTGCAATGGGCGAGGGTCAAGAATCTAAAGCGTTGGAAGCCTTAAAAAGATGTTGTGAGACAGGATCATGGCTCATATTAAAAAACTTGCATCTGGTTACTTATTGGTTACCAGAATTGACGCAAATTCATAAAAATATACAGCCGCACGAGAAGTTCAGGTAAACGTCACCCAACGTGGGTCTCACAAAAATTGTAGGGCTTTAAATTTGTTTTTATTTTATCTAAAGGTTATGGCTTATATCGGAACCAACGGTAAATTTTAACTTCGTATTGGCTCAAAATAGTTTGAAAGTTGTATACGAAACATCGCAAGGTATTCGGAATAATATTCTACGAACGTTTGCGACTTTTGGAAAAAAGTATTTCGAAAAATTAAATTCTAATGCTGCCAAGATATTTTTCGTACTTGCATGTGTACATGCTCTATTTCAAGAAAGAAGAAAATATATTCCTCAAGGTAACATAATTATTTTGCTAACCAGCATTGACAAATGGATTTAAATAAAATTTTACTATTTTTAGGATGGTCTAAGTTTTATGACTTTAGTGATACAGATCTATCGACTAGTGTGAACTTGATAGAGGATCTATGGCAAAATCAAGGAATTCAAATTCAGTGGCGATTCATTTCTGGTTTGATTGGGGATGCTGTATACGGAGGTAGAATAGAAAATATAGACGATATGAAAATAGTTTATTCTTATACCAAACTATATTTTGTTGACGATGTGATTAGTCATAGATGGAAGCCATTTGGATTAAATCTAAGTGTACCAAATAATGCCCAATTTGAGGTAACTTGTTCTAATTGTAAAGGAGGGTATCGTTTTCTGGGTTTTTTTGCGACCCCGTACGAAATTTTTCTCACTAAACGATATTAAAAAAAAATGTATTTTCCAAAATGTTTTTCTTTAAAACGTCCCGGAACATACTTTTTTTTTTAATTTGAAATATCTTTTTCGACATAATTACAAGCACTGACAAGGAGGATTCGGCAACATGTTGGCCGGCTGTCATGTGACACCTAATAACCTCAAAAATTCAATAGTTTTATACTTTATAGACAGAAGAAAATAACAATAAATATAGAAAAATTTCAAACAGCTGAAACTATACTCAATTGTATTGGATATTAACGTGACCATCGGTAATACAATTCGACGATATTACAGTACTCAGGGTTAAAACTTAATTACTGGAATGCTAGATGGCGTTGAAGTAGCTGGATTTTTAAATTTCTTGACAAACAATTTTTTTATCTTTCATAAAAAATATTTTTTATGTATCCTATGTTACTTCTAATACCTCCAAAAATATGTGTACAAAATTTCATGATGATCGGTTAAGTAGTTTTTGCGTGAAAGCGTAACAAACAAACTTACTTTCGCATTTATATTAGTAGGGATTTTAGCCGTCCGTATACTCCCTAAATATAACGTAATTTAGAATTTTACGCAATGGAAATTCATTTTAAGCTTATACTTTTAATATAAAAACAAATTTTCGTTTTCCTCCCTTAGATTTTCAAGTTTTTTGAAATATAAAAAAATGAGAAACCCTAAACATCCATTTAAAACGATACTCTCCTTTACTTTTGTTCTGATTAATATAATGGTTTGTAATAAAAATTTTATCGGAATACCAAGGAATTGGTTGACGATTCTAAAACTTATTTTTTTGATTGAAAATATTCCTCATAAAACTAGAATTAATGACAATGTCCTGGATTAAAACAAATTTTCATTTTACAGGAATATATAAAAATGATAAAGCAATTTCCATCTATAGACAGACCTGTATTTTTTGGATTGTCTGAAAATATAAACAGGGCATGGGAAAAACAAACATCTCTGAGGATGATATCAGAAATTAAAAGTAAGTACTCCACTTGTAATAAATTAATCTTAAAGAATATTAATTTTATTATAAAAATCTAAAGTAAGCCATACCAAAAATCACTTGTCGTATATTACCATTTTTCTATTTTAAATGAAAGTTTGGATTTTATTCTTAGGCTTGTAATTAAAAGCACATAACTCATATGTCTTTGTCTTTCATGGTCCACTTTAGAATCTATTTTGTTACGGATCATTTTAAATAATCCGCCATTTTAAATTTACAGATTTCCATTTACATAAATCTATCTCAACGAAATTTGACCAAGACGCTTTTCAGAAAGGTCTTCTTCCTTTTATGAGTGTCTGGAAGAGAGTAAACCAAGGCCACGATTTTATAAGAATGAATAATGTAGAAAAAGTAACAAAAGGCTGTTCAGTGGAGAAATTTTTAAATGAAGAATTTCAAAACGCCTTAACGCTTGTCCAAACGATTCACAAGTATTTTACTAATTTGAATAAAATTTGTAAAGGAATAATAAAGCCCGATGAAAAACATTTAGCTGTCGGGTATTTATTATTAAATTATAAGGTAAGTTGTCAATTGTATAGCGGAACATAAAAAATTTATTTGTTCTCTGACTGCTATACAAAATTGTATTTTTCTTATAGTTACCTTGCATTGATTTATTATTTCTCATAGTGTAAGTAAATAACTTTGAGAAAGTGGTGTAAGAAAAAACTGATAAATAATTATCTTCTAAATAAACTCTAGATAAAAAATATGGTAATTTGTTTTATGGGATTAAAAACTATCAATATAAGAATTTTACTGTTTCATAGTTTTTTTTAAAATTGTTTTTATTTTAGACTCCTGAAAGTTGGCAAGATATGTGGACAGGTCCCAAAGAACCCATTCAATATTTAAAAACTTGTATGTCTAAAATTATCAGTTTATCAAAATGGAAAGATGAAGGTGTCCAAAGCTTACTTGAAAAGCCGTTACGGTTTGCTTCACTGTTTCATCCGGAAGCATTCATTGCTTCTCACAAACAGGATTTCTCAAAGTATGCCTATTTCTATAATTTCACATTTTTATTTTGTTACTGTTGTCTCTGTCGTAGAGTTTAATAACATTAAAACACACACACCACACACCCACACCACACACCCACACCACACACCCACACCACACCCACACCACACACCCACACCACACACCCACACCACACACCCACACCATACACCCACACCACACACCCACACCACACACCCACACCACACACCCACACCACACACACCACACACACCACACACACCACACACACCACACACACCACACACACCACACACACCACACACACGCACACACGCACGCACGCACGCACGCACGCACACACACACACACACACACTTGTACATATTGTTAATAAAAACAAATTATTTTAAGGATGAATAAAATATCAATGGATGAGCTGGTTCTACAAACAAGTTGGAAAACAAAATCGAATTCGATAATTTTAGCAGAAATGCTGGTCGAAGGTGGATTTTTTGAAAATGGAGCTATTAAACAATGCTTACCAAATTCTGAAACGTATGGAGTTGTTCCGAATTGTTACGTAAATTGGGTTCGCAAGGTAGTTTTTTTACTTATATTTTTACACTCATTAAAAAAGATAATGTTAATGTAAAAATAGTTTTAATCATTCGGGGTGATTACACCAAAGTTAAAATTGTTATAATATGTTTGCACTGTGTTTTTGATATTTCTTAATTTTGGTATATAATTGCATACAAGACGTTTACAAGGTGTTTGTATTTCAGGACCAAATTCTATTAGATGACAGTTATATGGAAGTACCGTTGTATTCCACGTCAACGAGGAAGAAGAAGATCGTAATGCTTCAAATTCCTTGTGAAAGAAACAGTAAAGAAAAGTGGCTACTATCTGGAATAGCTTTCTATCTAGAATATTAGTAAACATTTGTTTTAAAACACAAAAAATTACATAAGAACAAAATATCTTATATATATACACTTTTAAGAATATAGACTAAGTAGTAGTCATTTAGGTCATTAGTGATATTAGCAGCAAGTAGCAAATCATGAATGCAGAGGTAGAAACTCGAATAATCGGGTGTGTTGATAGGTAATAGTTAAAAGGTCGTAACGTAGCCAAATTTAGGCATATGATCAGTCCAATCATTACCTGGTTAAGAAGGGGTGTATCGAAAGTATTCAAATTTGGCAGAAAAAAATAAAAGACCATATACCAATGTTGCTTTATTGGGGAAGGTATACATCTTTGGTACAAATATCGTTGCATTATAAGGTTTCATAATACGTTGTCCTGGAATTAGTTACACAGTAATGTCCTGCAGCTACATTAATATTGATCCCTTCTAAATATAAACATTTACTATATCCGAATTCGCCAGATCTGAGTAATACGATTCATTAAAAATCTACAATGTTATTACACTGATAAACATAATGGGTAAATTTGAACTTCTGGACAAAAAAGGTATACAACAAATCATTAAAATTGTAGCTATTGGGATGAAAGCAGTTTAAATTTTACCAGTACATAAAAATAACGTCAATTACAATTTTAAAAAATGTACATAAATTTAGGATTTATAGTATTTTCGAATGTATTAGGTGACATTTTAAAAATTTACAATGGCTATATCTCATGAATTTAGGATGTTATTAAAAAATTCTTAAAACAGTTTTTAGGATACGAAAAAAGTTACAAAATATATAATATTTTGCCCTTCCCTATGCGTCACCTACCTCAACCAAAAGAGTAATAAAGGACAGCCCCCTACTTATCAAACATCAGTGAAAAGCTGGTAAAAATATGTTTTTAACTGTATTAGTTATACCCTATATAGGGTGATTCCAGGGGCGTGTGGTCCAGGAAGCGGGGGAAGCACCGCTTCACTACACTTTGAGATTTAAAAATAAATATTTTTACGTTTAAATAAACCAAAGAAGCTTTTCAATGATAAGTTTTTTTATAGCTTCTAGTACTAAACTAGGAAATAAAGTAATAGTAACACTTCAAAAATCTCAATCTCGAATATCCGTAGTACTGAGGGGAAAAAAGCAAGAATTTGAAAAAATGGTGAATGCGCCGCGACAAATTTTCGCCTGCGGCGCTGTGTTTACTGGCCTAAATAAAAGGAAAGGAAGACGACTTGTTTATCTGAAATAAATATAATTAAATATTTCTATTTCAGGAGTACAACATAAATTATTAGGTTTTCCTATTTTTTTGGGCTGGTTTTATCCTCTTTAGTTTATAAGATATATAGCCATTGTAAGTTTTTAATTCTCACCTTGTTGTTTTGAGGATATAATAATTTTATTTTTTGTAAATCCAGACCTGTATTCGAGATTATACACTAGCTGTTGGGAAAATGGAAAGTAAACATGTGTAACAAATATTAATTTGTTGTCTTATCTAGATATTAAGTAAGCCATACTAACATTTCAAATTTACGCATTACCTTTATTTAAGTTTTGAAGGGTGGGGTACCATAAACGACGTGTTCAACAAGCTACTGACATTGACCATTGGGCATAGTGACCAAGGGGCAAAGTGATTTTACATAACGTCTTATACCTACACGTGTCGTAAACCACTAAAATTTTATCAAGTCGAATGCATATTTCACGTCATATATGGTTCCCCATTCTGTAGAAAAAGCATAACAACAAATTCAGAAAACAATCCGATATAAAATTGAAATATTTTAAATACATTTTTGAGCAATTATATACTGCAGAGTGAGTAAAAAACGGTTATAATAATATATGAACGAATAAGGTGTGTCGATATTTTACATTATTGTACAGGGTAGCCCTTTTGATTTCTAAGGATTAGATGTAAATTAAAACCATGCTCACAATAGATGTTCAAGGACCAGAGAAATTGAAACAACCAACAAAATATTTAATAATCAACCAAGATTGGGGAATACAGGAAAAAATATTTAATCGGTTAAATATTAATAAAAATAACAGTGAAAAAAGTATATAAGCTTAAAATACCGCTTTATCGTACACAAATTTTAGATAATCAGGAAGTAAATTTAAAATTTTCATGATTCAAAAGTTAATTCACTTTTATATCGATTTACTGACCACAAATACCTAGTTATTTGTTTTACTATATTATAATAATTTAATAGCTAAATTCACAGAGCATCATTAAATTTACGCATGATTTTTTGTGTTTCTACTATTAAAATATTGTTTACTTAAAACAATAAAAACGTATATGTCAAATTCAGAAATTTTTTTAATTAAAGTTTCATTTTAGATTTAAAGAATAATTGTTAGCATCAAAATAAATTTACGGAAATATCATTTTTTCTTATTTAAATGTAATATTATTTTACTAAGCGCCTAGTGTTTTATAATTGTACCTAAAAAAATACCATTGTGTGTATTTTGTCAACTAATTAATTATTTGTCATTAAAAGTCTTTGGTAAGGACCGAGTTTTATTCATAAACAAAAAATGTTCATACATCTCAAAAATTATGAAAAATAATAGATGATTCCATATAAGTTTGGTTGTGTGTTTATTAACGAATTTAATTTATTAATGATTTGCGGAAACATAACCTCATTTGTTTAAATTTTAATAATTACATTAACGATTTAAAGTAAATGCAAAAAACTCTACTTTTTCTCTGAATTGATATTGACGTTCCTATCTTTAAGGATTTACACGCAGGTAACTATTTAAAAATGCTCTGTGACATGAATGTAAATGAAATAAAATTAGGACTGAAAACTTATATATTTTAGAATACTTAGGCCGTATACTATCTAAATATAAAGTTCCAAATAAAATATTTCTAAATTAGGTCTTAAATAAAATCACGCATGTCGAGGATTTTAATTTTTTTTCCATTTGAAATGATAGTTTGTATATGATGATTTAGAAATATTTTTGTGGATCACGTTACTATGACAATACAATATGCATTCACTTTTGTTTGACAGGATAGTTGGCCATGGACATCTGGTAAGGTTGTGGTAACTGTGTATGATTGTGAAAAAAACACTAATACTGTTATTGATTCAGTTTGTTTTTTTTTGTAAAAATTATTACAATGTTGCCAGTTGATATTATTTATCGTGCAGGTTTATTCAAAATGAATATTACAATATACAGTTTCTAAAACTGTTTCATTTTATTCCAGTTTAAAAATTTAAATATTCTCGGATGGATCCGATGTAGATGAAACAAACCAACAACTTTGTAGTGGTTTGATGCACTGTGTAAAAAGCTAAACAAAATAGAAAAACAACTTTAGACACAGTCATGGGTGTTTTACACCCAAGTATACCTTTTAAATAGTTAAAATATTATTTATGGGTGGCAATTGACAAATAGTGAAAAGATATAATATAAAATAGTGTAACAAAAAAATAATCTAGGTATCTTATCTAATGAAAATTGTGTAGGGCACTAAGTAAATTATTGTAATGCGTTTATCTTCACTTATACCACTGGGTAAAAAATACTTTATTTAAACTTTGTTTTTTTTACGTTAAGATACAAACATTACCTATTAGCTTGTCTAATAAGCAGTCATCTAATGACTAATTATTATTACACAATACGCTCTTATGAGACACGGCGCATTTTCCATATAAGGTGGAAAAATGTCATTTTTTTTTTATTAAAATTTTCAAAAAATAACTATTAACGCCCGAAAAGAGGTATGATATCCAATTAAAACTGCCAAATACTCGTATATAAATTATAAAGACAGTATTTAAATTGCGTTTTAATTTTATATTAAATCAGTCTTTACGTATATTTACAACATTTTTATCTAGAAAATCACATAAATTAACTGGTAGTAAAAAGAAAGATGTATAAAAAAATGGGAAAAAGTTTTTAGGGTTTTAACAAACAATATTAGTAGATAGACAAAGTGAGAGGTACAGATTCAATGGGTAAGAGAAAGATATATGGTCTTACATTAAAACGACGAAGTAGGGACAGTAAGGGATTAAATTTCTGTTAACGTCGAACAGAAAAATCATGCGCAGAACAAAAGCCAGAAGGGTCTAAAACATATCTTTGTTATTGTTGGTCCGCTTTATACGGGAAAACGGCATTATGTAGATAACGCGGTATAGATTAACTTCGAACTGAAAAATCATGCGCAGAACGAAAAGCCAGAAGGGCCTTAGCGTGTTTCTTGGATATTACTGGTCCGATTCAAACGGGAAAAACGGTATTAAGTAGATAACTCGACATGGATGAACGTTGAAGAGAAAAATCGACGTTTGTGTTCAAAAAATTTTATAAACTAGGTACGTTTTTTAAATAACGATATATAAAATATTTTACAGGATTGAGGTCCAGCTATCTCGGTGACCTATTGGGAAATATCTTATTTCTTTTGCGAAATTTATGTGATTTCCAAAATTTTTAATATTTAATTTTATCGTTTTAATAATATTTTAACAAAACTTTGAAACATCGGTGGTAAAAACGATCAGAGGCACAGACTAGGAAAGGCATGCTTGATATGATAAGATCTTAAACATAATTTTAATCGAACTAAATAGTTAAAGTAGGTTCTAAAATGGACATTGAACTTTTCCTACATAGATTTAAATACTTAGGAAGATGGTTTACAAAAACCTTCTTTTTGGTATAAGCAAAGAATGTTAAAACTAAACATTTAAATCTATGTAAGCCATATAATATATACATAGAAAAAATAAATATTTAAATAAAAGTATAGTTCGTAAGTGTTTAAAATAGTTCTATCAAATGAGACATCACAAGCCCCCATGGTTCTATATATTAACTTCACTTAAGGGGTAAAAATATTATGTCACTAAGTATTGTTTTGGAAACAAAACTTGAACTGTTTATGGGGTATTTGATAAAAATGAATAATGACAGCAAAAAGTCATTTTAATGAAGGTGAAAAATTTAGGAATACATTCCTAAAATCACAAACAAGGGTGCAAACAAACCGAACATTTTCGGAAAACATCCAGAGTAAAACAAGGAACATAAACGAAATATTTTCCAATTCATATTCTGCGAATTTGCCATATATAGTTATACAAAATCCACCCTTAAAACTCCTTATAGACACCGGTAATATGTCTAGTATGTTAAGTCCAAATATCGTTGAGAGATATTTCCCAGAAAATATTTACAACGACCCAACCTTAATAATTGCAGCTATAGGTAAAAAGCAAACCGAACATAAAGTTAAAATTCGTGCCTTTAAAGAATTTAATTCCAATATTAACTTAAACTTTATAGTATTTCAACTAAATCAGTGAATAAAAGTTTTAATCAGTATTTTTTCGACTTTCAATGTTAAAACCTTATTTTACACAGTTATAGTAATATAGGAAAAAATACAGGACACCTGAATTTTTTGTCAGTTTTTTTAAAGTACTGATGGGTAAAAATTAGAAGTTAATGAAAATGACCTATATACTCTTATGGCTCCCCTTACCTTTAATATATAAGTGAAAGATAAACCTACTTTAAACTCTTCGAACTATCTTTTTTTACTTCAGTTTTTAACAAGCAATACAATTTTTTATAAAACTTAATGCATATTACTATACATTCGAATTTGTAAAAATTATTCCAAAAGTAATTTATTTTTTATGAGAACAGATAGAAATAAGGGGCTAGAAATTTGTGTTTGTCTCATCGCTAGGCAAACATAAAAACGATTTTCTAGCTAAAAGAAGATAGATACTCATTTGCATCTTGAAACAATCTATAGTCAGCATCTATAATTTATTCACATTTTTAAATGATCTAAGGTGTAATTGACATATGCAGTACATTTCTCTTATTTAACTAGAAATATTTAGGTATTTAGAATTGTTCGTTTTGGCACAAATTATACAATTTTTTATTAGTGACTGATCAACCATATAAATCAAAAAAATATTTAGTCAATTTATTGATATCCTATTCAACTCCAAAACATTCAGAAAAATAATTATAAAAAAATACCATAATTACTAGATCAGTAATATTTAACATAGTAATTATGTACCTAGACTTTCTTATGCAAAAGTAAACTTCTGTGGTTGATCAACCACTCTTTTTGGCATCGATTATAAACACAAAAACATACGAAAAGCAGCTTTAAAGTTCAGGCATGAAGATTTAAAGCTAACATTTTTTTTCATAAATACCTCTTTAAATATAGTACTGGTTTATATGTATTTTAAAATGTCTTTCATGAGCATAACTCGTCGAACAACCAATAACTAACGGCCAAAGAGTGGAATTTTATTTCAAATTCATGGCAGAATTTTAGGGTAATCTTTCATAAAATGTCTTGATGGAATTTCTAACTCAAGACGAGCCCACAACTTAAATTTTTAGACCTACAATAATTAAAAAAAAAAAATATATTTTTATGAGATTGAAAACCGGCCATAAATTAAGTGATGAAAAGAAGGTGCGAAAGGGTGATAAAAGCGGGTGAAAAAGAAGTTGAAAAGGAGATAAAAGCGGAAAAAGGAGTAAAAAGTGCATTGAAGGGAGATAAAAGCTAAAAAGGGGGAGGAAAAGGTCCGAAGGGGGGTATAAAAAGACGAAAGAGGGGGTAAAAGCTGCAAAAAAGGTAAAAAAGATGAAGAGGTGAATTAAAAGAAAGAGCTAAAGGGGAGTAAAAATGACGAAGGGGGTTGAAAATGGAGGTAAATTTTATTTTTGAAACGACCGTTTCAAAAAACGAAAAGTAAAGTAAAGTTAAAGACGTGACAATCTGTATTTAAGGGTACTAGAAAAAATGAGCGATTTTTAAAATTATTAATTATTATTTAATACCTCAAAAACAGAAAAATTTAAAAATTGTTATGCTACACTACTCACTTTATTATTATTATTTTTCTGCCTCTACTCTTTGGCCGTTGTCTTTGGAACATCAATATAATCTATCTAGACACTGAACTATCAAGCCAGGAAAGTGTACCGTAATTTCTGGCCACTTTCGATATAGTCTCTCCTCAGCTTTGGATGCTGACTTCTTCAAACATTCCATCATTATTGTGCACTGCGCATTTATCGTCGATCACTATTTGGCAGATATGACCATTTTCCAGAATGTTATTCTTGAAATGGACTTCGCATTCTTCTTTGTCTGAAGATAGGAGTAATCCTCCATTTTTATCACACATGACGTGATGTCAGAGGTCTAAGTGGTCCCTGTCTGATACCTAAAAACAAAAAATTAAATAAATATATAATAACATAAACTGTATTATTAGCAACTTTTGTAATAAAAGTTTTTAAAACCCAGTCTTTATTTACAATAATTTAATTAAATCACTCCCACCATAATGATTTTAAGATTCAAAATATTTCATTGTAATTGTTTTTAAAACCACGTCCCTTTTACTTTAGCTTATAAAACCAAGACTTAATTTATAATTTTGGTATAAAACCACGCCTTCCTATGCAAATCGGTTATAAAACCGCGCCTCATTACTATATTAATTTGTTAACGCCTAGTGCATTATTTGGTTATATTCATATATCAACATTATTTTATAAATCTACACCCCTATTACTACACAAGTTTATTAAAGATTTGTTTATTACATTATTGTGCAAATTTTACAAATATTAATATTAAAAGTACGCCCCTAAATAGATTAGATACCACATAGATTTTGAAACCACAATCTATTACTGCAATTACCTATTAGAGTTGTAAACCAGAGCAATGGCAATATTTAAATAGTTAAGTATTATGTTTATAAAATGTATGCAGCCACTCTCTAATCAACACTGGTTTGTGAACCTACCCATAAATATACGTTTTTTACGCGGTCGTTAGTATATTAGCTTGTAAACCACGCTCCCCTTAAAAGTAAGTTATTAAACCACACCTCACTTGTAAACAAATTATGTTGTGAACAACTATTATAATAGTTTTTATAACTACGTCTTTATTTACGTTAATTTATTTAAAACACTCCCACCATTATCCTACTGTTTCAAAACCAAGCTCTCTACTGTAATAGTTTTGGCTCATAAAACCACGCCTCTATTTATCATTCGGTTGTAAAACCTCGCCCCATTTACCATTGGATGCAAAACCATATCTACGTTTACCACTCGGTTGTAAAACCACGCCCCATTTACCATTTGGGTGCAAAACCATGTCTCCGTTTACTACTCGGTTGTAAAACCACGCCCCATTAATAAAAGATTAAAAACGCCATTATTAACATTTGGTTATAATAATTTTATGTTAGTTAATATATAACCCCTATTTTATCTCCATATTAATAATACCTATTTTATAAATTACACCTCCGTTGCTACATTAGTTTAATAAACCACGCCCACTAAAACATTCGCTTGAAATAGCATGCTCTCAATATTGTCACGACTCGTATAAATTCATATTTTTCCTAATATTAATTAATTATTTAAATAACATCCTGTACATAAAACTTTGTTTATATGTCGACAATTTGTTTTGAATCGTAATCATCAAGGTTGATTATTTAATAATTATTAAACATTAGTTTTAATAACAATAAACTATGAAAAAATGATAAAAGTAATGTCGAGGGGATGCGCAGGGCTTTTTCACAAGGAAGGATCCTCCCCATAGGAGGCCCCCTTGTAGGAGAATTCCCAATAGCAGCTCTAGCTCGAGATCTCTATAATTTATATTAAAAGTCTTTTTGTATTTTAAATGGCAGTTGTAATAGTCAGGCAACAGTTGTGATATGTGCCCCAAATATTAGTGGAGTTGGTAAGTTTACATTTTTGTGTACTTGTTATTTACATTGAGCCCATATTTGTGTATCGAGCTGTGACCTATTTTGCATCCTATTTTAATTATAATATTATATTTGTTTTGAGAAAACATTGTGTTTCGTTCAGCCCTTTTAGAGACGTGCTATAGGTTCTAACAGCAAGAGTAGAACCCTTATACAGTTAAGGACTACGAAGCCAAGTTTAAGGCAATATAGAGTTCTTACGTTATGTAGGCCCAGAGTGTTATATTTTGTTATTCAACCCCCGGGACATAGATAGTCCCATAATTATTTAAAACACGTGAATCGTGACATTTCTTTATTAAAAACACGCATAACGTGACAATATAATATAAGTGTGTAAACTCGATCCACATTACAAGGGGGTACCTAAAACCACGCCCTTAAATATATTAATTTTTAAATCCTCGATCTATTCTTCATTTCATAAAATCAAACCTCTATTACTATATAAGATTTGTAAATCACGCCCCCTACAACATTATTTCATTAAATTTGTCATGACTGCATTGTAATTCGTTTTTAAAACCACACCCATATTTTTTATTTGCAAATCACAGCTTCATTCAATTTAAAATGTCTACATTTAAATGTTGTGGCAAAGATTATAAAAATTTTGTTTGTGTAACGTGTTCAGGAGTTTTTCACCCCAATTACCATGAATACTCAACTAGTAATGCAAATTTATTCAGAACACCAAGACATTCAACAGCATTATTTGAGAAATCGCCTGAATTGGTTGGAATCAAATTTTTTAATCAAATGTTTTTCTAATTGTATATTTTTAATGTGCATGTCTTAGATATATATTATATATATTTTTTTGTATACTGTATTTTAATATTTTTCATTCATATATATTATGACTTATCTTATATCATGTAACATGATCCTAAAGGACAAATGAACTATTATTATTATTATTATTACTAGTTTTTAGGATCTAGTAAATATATTAGTTTGTAAACCACGCATTCATTAAAAATAAATTTCTAAACCACACCTATAATAAAAATAAGTTCTTAAACCACGCCTATTGGTTATATGAATATTTAAAAATAAAATACTAACCTCTACAAGAGGCCAATTGCTTTCTGGACTCATTGGTCTGGAGCCGGGCGACTGTGGCGACTCGGGTGACTGGGAAGATGACGACTCGCTTCCGTTCGGCAACTCGAGCGGCTTCAGGGCCGGCTTGAGTTTGGGTCAGGCCATCGTCATTACTTGGTTCTCGGGTTCCGGGGACCAACAGTTGTCCGACAACCAACAACCGATTACTACGGTCGCCAGGCCGATCAATAGGGCTAGCATAATGTACACTTCTGCATTGCCTGCGAAATAAAATAACATTAACGTTCTCTTAGCTTTAACGTTATAAAAATTGTTTAACAAAAGTTGGTATATAGTAATGTACTGTGAATAAAATAAAACATTGATGTATTAATTCTTAATATTTTTATAAATAGAAAAAATATAGTATTTTTGAACAATTACACACAGCTGCAACTGTATATGAATCGTCGTCAGGCAACATGTTGTGCAGTTAGGTGTATTTTGTGTTGCGGTTCTCTGGTTTCGCTGTGTATTCCACAAAGAAGTAGAGAGGGTAGAACAATAAGGTACCGTCTGCGCATCCATCACGAGTGTAGAAATTATGCATGATTCAACCTTCCACTCTTACACACGTAAATGACAAGGAGAGGTTGCCCTAAAGCATTGTAAACAAATTCCAGGATTGGCTTTGTTTGTGTTGCGGCTGTTTTAAGCTTTTTAGGCGTCAATTCTTCGTTATCTTGCTTATATTTGTGCTTTGATATCGATTTAGTATTAAATTCTACTTGTTAATTATTTTCCAATGCACTATTTTATAATTGTTGCACAAAATGTTGAGAAACTGTCCCTGAATCTTGTTTACAAAATGTGCAAAACGAAATTGTGCATTGTGTCTATACTTTTCCATTGACAGTTATCATTCTACCCTTTTCCACTTCATTTATATTCCACTGATCTCATATAATATTGTGTATTCTCATGAGACAGTCTTATTTTCCGAACGCAGAAGATCAGAGTGTCGACGTTATCAAAATGCGGAGAAAAAGACGAGAGGTGTGTTGAAGATCCATTTGGATTGTGTAATAAATAATTTTACTGTGATATGAGTAATCTGTTACCGGCCGAACAGGAATTGTACAGTAAATTAATGTTGAGCCACGTATCTTGGCAAATTTCTTCAATTAAAACCTGTAAAGAGATACTTTAACAATACGGACACAAAAGTTTTCACTATTTTTGCTATGTTTTTAATAAAAATGATACTACTTACAAGGTTGCCAATTTTTCTATTATTGCGACTTTGTCTTTTCAGAAGTATCTCGTATATAACAAACATATTAATACGGTATACCAGAGTAACAATTTCACGCCGTTCTGGTAGTATTTCCGAATGTCTTTCTCAAAGTTTAAACTTCAGCTAAATTTCCGATTGTTCATGCTTTGAACCTGGTAAATTACCGTAATGAAAGGTAATAAAAGCACTAACGCAAAACTAGTTTGAAACTAATGCAATAAAATTCGAAAATCAGATAATAAAAATAAAAAATTGCCTGAAAATCTGTTGGCGCTGTTCCAATATGAATTTAAAATTATTGTACCATTGAAAATATTTCAAAATTATATGGCAAATATTGGGCATTTCATTTTTAAATTGTTAGCCAATGATATTTATAGAAATAGTAAACTAAAATTTTAATAGAATTTGAATAACCATCAAATAATCTGAAATGAGAATACAAGAAGGGTAAATAGAAAATATTCTAGAACAAAACTGGAACGCGAAGTATTTAAAACCAAGACAAAGGAAGAATAGAAATCTATAGAAAATAACACCTTAAAAAATAGTTTTTTTAGGGCCAAAGTTGTGCGATTTGTGCCTTTTCCATACTACTGTCTTTGTATGTATCTGTCCAATTGCTAATCTTTTTTCAGTCTTGTGACTTCTTCTATTAAATTGGTTGATCTTTTTCTCGGCCTTCCAGGTTTCTTATTTCTTTCTGGTTGATAAAGCTATGTTTTACTTTTTTAGTCTGGATTCTATTCAGTCGCTACAGTCATTGTACGAGTATTCTTCTTACTTTGACAAATTTTCCAAGAAATTTCCTTCGAATCAGACAGAAAGATCAGATATACCGTTATCTATTAGATGGCTACTTTTATTTATATTCTTTAAATATATTTAAAACAAGATGCAATTATATTTCTAATCTTCTTTATACTAATTGCTTTCTAACTTTCAGAGAATACCGAAAATAGACAATGATAAGTAGAAACACTTACTAAATGCACTAAATTATTATCAGTTCTAATTCTAATTTGGGACCATTAATTATACGTGTTCCTACTCCGCTATTCTATCGTCATTGTCGGTCCTTTGTATTATTAACTTAATGGAAAATTTTGGAGTACTCGACAAATGTCACCAATAAATAATATGTAGCAGATAATAGAACAAGATTTTCGTTACATGGATGGCAATCGATCGTACAGGTTGTCGCGGATTTTCGCAAATTTAATTGGTTACTACGAGGCAGAGTCAAATAACAAAAAGTCCGTCTCAATGAAGGAAAGTATAGAGCCGTTATAGATGATGACATATGAAGAAAACAAATTATGAATTGTATGTTTACGTAGCTTAGCAATCTTCCGCGCTAGTGACTAAAAGCGATATTTTATCAATAATTCATAAATTACAATAAACAATTTACATACGGTAATATTGTTTTTTTCTTAGTTTTGGCACTTCTTGCATGAGAACTGTTGACGATTTCCATGTTTATAACTTTATTTATTCAGCCGTTATCCCGACGCTAAGTCAAAAAGTATAAAAAAAAGCTCGTCCTGCAGGACTAGGCACGTTTTAAAATAGAAAAGAACATTAATTTAAATAAAACGTTTGAAGTAAACTGACCTAATTGTTTTCTGATTCCGGTGCCCATCCTGCTTCTCCAAAGACTGTTGATTAAGGTCGGATCTGCTCGTCTCCACTCCCTCCAACCAGACAACGTTCTTACACCTCCAACTCCCCCTGCGGGGAAGGGGCTCGGCGTGCTTTGAGGAATGCCTGGGGCTTGCGGGGCTCCGTGTTGGCTCTGTGGAACTGGGTACTCGATCGCTATAAAAAAATTATAATATTAACGTATCTATTCACGCTATTAATAAATATACAGTGTGATCCAATAAAAAGTATCCACTCCCTTTTCTTGGTTCCCTCAGATTTGAAGAAGAAACGCTCGGACAAGTCGATTTTTGTTTGGAGGGGGACATATTTTTTTATAATTGCAACATTGAACACTTCAACCGGCGAACAGTGGGGTGAACAACGTCTAGAATTTAGAGAAAAACGGTAAGGTAGTAGCTGTTGGAGAAATGAAAATGGCCTTTATTAATGTTTATTGAAGTTTTGCTACCGAAAGCAGTAGTGGAGGTACACCTGACTGAATAAAAAACTCTGAACATAGGGCATATTTTGGTGACCTAAACGCTCATGCCAAACCTGACGAGTATTTTGTTCAGTCAGTTTTACCTCTAATACTGCTTTCGGTAGCAAGACTTCAATAAACATTAAATAAGGGCCATTTTTCCTCTCTCCAACAGCTACTACCTTATCGTTTTTCTCGATACAACAAGTTGTTGGAAATCATTCCTTTATCAACGATACATGAAATTGAGAAAAGATTAACGCTGACCTTGGGAACATACCAAACGCCTTGGAGGTAGTTTTGTATCCATCGACTGTTAATATACATCGTTACGTTTATATTTTCTTTTCCAAGTACCTGCATTAGCTGCCTATTACCAACTAAGACATACTGTGGAAATGAAAAACGTTCAAAGGATGTAAACCATTCTTTTCTGCTTGTCATATGCTGTGTTTCCCCTAAATCTACTACCATCAAAGTTGAACTAGAAGAGGTATCTTCAGCTCCTTTGTTAATTTTCTCATCCTTCTTGAGACAGTCACGTTTTACGTAACCTCTCTTACCACACTGGCTTCTTATCAGTCACATTGTCTTGATTATGAGAAGATGAGTACTTTGACTTGGCAATTAAGGCTGTTTTTTCAAACGTATCAAGATTTTCAGCTCCTCTCTCCTGTATTCGTAGTTCCACAGTACATAATCTTTCACCCAAAAAAACTATTGTACGTACAGACTCCCATACATTTGTAAACTCGAAATATTCTGCAGGCAAAATATTCAAAACTCTGTAGTTTAACTTTGTCTATCGGCCGGCCAGGTTTCATCTTGCAATTCTAACCATAACTTCTCCAGTTTGGCAATATGTCTAACTACAGTGTCTTGAGGATCTTTTAGCTCAACTTTCGTTTAGCCGAAATCTGTTATGCAAAAACTGTTGTCATAATAACAATTGTGGTGGCTATGAGTAAACAAAAACCCTAATCGCATGGTGAGGAAATGCTTATTTGCCAAGTTGTAGATGATTACGGTTTTTGTTTAGTTTCATTTAGCTGAAATCAGTTATGCAAAAAATGTTGCCATGGGCACGCTTGTCATATTATCGACTAAACAAAAATCAAAATCTCCTGGTGGGGAAATGCGTAGTTGCCAAGTTATAGATAATTTAATGTTCACTTTAGTTTAGCCGAAATCAGTTACGGAAAAACTGTTTTCATGGAAACGCTTGTCATGCTAAGGACTAAACAAAAATCCAAATCCGGCAGTAAGGAAATGCGTAGTTGCCAAGTTATAGATTATTTAATGTTTACTTTAGTTTAGCCGAAATCAGTTATGAAGAAACTTTTGCCGTGGAAACGCTTATTAGGCTAACTACTAAACAAAAACCCAAATCTCGCGGTGAGGAAATGTGTAGTTGCCAAGTAGTGGTTAGTAGGTGGGTGGAACGAGCGCAGCGTGATCTTATGACGTAGGTGGAAAAAGAACGCGCCCGGCCGACGTTTCGAAATTCGCGCGCGCGAATGGCTAAATTTTAATTTCATTTCTTTTTAATTTTAGAATGAATTTATATTTAAAAAAGATAGAACTCTGAAAATATGCCGCATATTATTCCGTACACACAGAAATCTATAATTAATTTAATTCTAATTTATTCGTTTTCTCTAATGATCAATTTACATATTATTTTTGGTTGCTATATTTGGTGACTGATGACATTTAATATTGCATTACCGAACGGAATATCTATCATATTGGTTTTGAGTCGATACAAAAACATGTTGACGACTACTTCAATATTTAATATGATGAAATTGCATTGCGGTCGTAGCTAAATAAAAACTTATATTGATTTTAACGTCATGTATTTTCGTTAAATTTTAATTAAAACTCGTAGTAAGATACTTTTCATCACATCAAATGGAATGTTTTCTAATTAATATTGAAAATTTGAAGTAAAATAAAGAAAAGAAACCGCTATTAAAGTAGATGGACACGTTTAGTGTAGTCAATCAGTTCTGTACGATTACGAATCGGTGACAGTTTTTACAAAAGGGCATAACTCATTTTTTGTCGATTTTGAGTTATATAGTGGACGGTGTGCCCCATAGCGTATATTTTCTTCTCTCAAAACGGCATATGTCTACGATAAAAGGCAACAAAGTTATGGGGAAAAGTGTGTTTTGGCATATCTCAGTCGAGACGAATTATTATTTTTACAAAACGGCTTAACTCAAGATAGGTCCTTTTGAGAAAACATCAGCCAAGTTTAATATCTGAGTCACATAAGGGCCTATCTCAATTTAATACAAAAAAAAACTAAATAAATAAAGTTTTAACTCCTTCCTCTACGACTTTTTTCTTTAAAATATTGGTTATGAAAAAACATTGCAGAGTTTCATTTGTCACGGGACAATTTAAAAATACTGTAGGTAGGTATAGGGGAACCACACATTCTAATTCATAAAGACGAGATTCGTTTGCGCGACAAAATAACATAATTTCACAGTTTGTGTGTTATTGTCTCTAATGAGCACATTGTGTGGTAACTCTTTGACGATTTAAGTGCTAGTTATATTGTAGTTTTATTGAAGATTCTTTGTGAAATATGTGAAGTATGTATTACTAATTATGTATATTAGGATTTACATTAACAGTTATTTTCATCGAAAAATAAGCGTAATTGCAAAGCGTGACATATTTGTCCTAACAGTACATAATCTACTGTAATAAGCTGTCATGTTTGATGTTTGTTTTACGCCGATCGCAGCGCAGCATGCAAAACGGTTCTTGATTTCCGGATATGCCTCGTATATATGATAAATATGATATATAAACTGGGGAAAAAATGGAAGAATTGACATTTATATGGAAAGTAATTAATTGTATCAAAATAATTCCAAACAATACTTTTAAAACAACATATTAAAATATTTAAAGATAATTACCTCTTGAACACAAGTCGCTGCACAAATTTTACTTTGCATGTTAATGGTCCCTTAGCAAGAGTTTCGGGCAGCAGCCCGTACTCAAGTCAACTATCTATAGTCTATTTAAACCAAAATTAACATGACCGGTTAATTATTTTCAACATATCAACTTGAATAATTCTTTAGTTCAATATCAGCCATTAACTGGAGTACTAATCTAATTGTTTGGTTTATTTAAATACTTCTGTTATTATATTTAAATATTTAGTTAAAACATTTATTACTTTTAAAATGTTTGTGTCATTCTTTAGATTTTACTAATGCAATTATTACAATTTATCTAGTTCAATATTTTATTTGTTTATCGAGTAGATAGTGTTTTTAAATATTGAAATGAATAAAATTGGCAATTATTAATTGTAAAAAGGACTGATTATTGTCCAAATTAACATTTTAATTATCTGAAACAAATTGATTGGAATATTAAATGATCCTAAAATTCGGTTGGTTATTACTTTTCCACTGTTATTACTTTTCCACCTGTTCACCGTAATCACAACTGTTTACTCGAAACAGAAACAATATTATTCCGAATCAAGTGAAACCCTTTGACGACTATGATTATGCCCCATAAATTTAATATGGCGTTACTCGTGAAATAGTTACTAAGGATAATTTTTTATATAAGGATAACAGAAGTGCTGACAGAAGATAAAAACTAATTTCACTGTCCATTTATAACATTAGAAACAATTTAGTAGAATAAATAAAAAAAAATGAATTTAAAGATAATAATATAATGTAAAATTAAACTTACTCATGAGGGTACAAAGGGTCAAAAACAGTCCAGTAATGCAGAGCCAGGCCATAGCCGTCCCTCATCAACTCCTGGGAGCACATCTAACCACCATTCTAATCACAGCTGGTAGTGACTCAATCAAAGTCTCTCTCTTGCTCTTTACTGTATCTAATGTATCTAAGGACTATAAATTAAGGTTCTAATTCCTGGAAGCCAGATGCAATTTCCAGTGCTAAGCTGATATAAGCGATGATGGACTTAATTTTTCATGCGTGGTCGATCCCAGAGGTCTGAAATAAAATATCATTAACTGCGTATAACTTTGAAGTGAAGTTTAAAATGAATATTACAAATTTTAAATGAATATACATAGTAGATTTCATTATTTCGTTGAAATTTAAACATGAGACTATTAATTAGCTACAGTTTTTAGACAAATGTTTTAAAAAGATGGTTGAAAATGAGTGGGATGATCTCATCGCCTTCCACTGCGACCCAGATGGGTCTATTGTGGCTTTTTAAAAAGATACTATTTGTTAGATAAGTAGATGCCACTTATTTATCAGAACAATTAATTCACACCTAAGGCTGCTTTACTACCTGATTTTGCGTCGAAAATACATATAGGATCATGACAAATTTTTAGATACTATTGCGTCGAGATTTCATCCGCCGTAAAAATCCAACAGTTATATATTTAGTTGTAGAAACTTTAATTAAAACTTAGTAACCTTCTAAACATTAACAGATAGTTAGACTGAAATAATTTAAAGTTAATGTCATTCAGCAGATCACATTCTCAAGCACCACCAAAATTGGTCAAGCCCATAAATTTGAATTGCCGTTTTTGCAACCGACTGTCAGAATATTTAGAATTTAAATGTACTTTAATTCCAATGGAAAACTATACGAAAAACTACGTCCCGTTTAGCCAACAAGTAGTTATTTAACTGGTACTTTTAGGTTGCTGGGACATGATGAAAGTGTCATCCTATGTATTTTAATTAAATGAAAGGACAATCTCGAGACAATGATAAAGAATAAGATGATGGTAATCAAATATAATTCTGATGAATCGAAAAGATCGGACCCAAATTAAAATATAGTCCCTCCTCCACACGGTATTGCTTTTCGTGCCATCTAAAAAAAAAATCGAATAAGACAAACAGAAGTAGTACAACGATAACCGTTTCCCTTTTGCAACGCGGCGCTAGAGAATCAAAATGCATTATAAACGAGGGCGCAAAGAGTGAGGGAAATTCTCGAATCCCAAAGCCCAGTCTATAAATAATTCGTTGGGGAAAATTAAAACCCAATACTGGTTTCCCGTCATTGGACCACACTAACTAGAATTAAATTGGTATATATTGGAATACAGTACAGAAGCTGTAAATGTTATTTTACCTGGTGTTAGACATTGCAAGATTGGAATGGTAGCGCAAAACACGACGCGCCTGCTCGTAAGAAATATCATTTTGATAATAGGACGTGCGATGCTGAGTACAGTGTGCAAAAATGCACACAGTATGGAAGTAGACCAATTCCTCTCAAACAAAACAACCAACAAGCGATCGTGACGCCAAGAAAGTTAAGTTCAAACTTCGAAAGACTTACAAGGGAAAAAACAAAAAAGAACTCTCAGCATCACCAGCAGAACTATACTGCACTATTGCTCGCAGCCCATTTTATATTTGGGTTTAAGAAACTGTAGTATAGTCCACATTCTGAGCTTTGTTTTGCTTTAGAAAACACCCGATGTATTGCTCTGACATAAATTTACGGAATATTTATATAAAACTTTTCAGAAAATGTATTTCAAAGTAATTTTCTCTGTTTTCAAGTGCTTAACCCAGTAAGATCGTCTACCGTTTTTAATTTTGGTAGGAATATTCATGTTGTCCCATTTCTACTCAATGCTAATGAGCATTGAAACATGAAATGTTGTTCATTAAAGCGCCTCAGCAAGCTGTTGATTTAGAACACCCTAAGTATTTGTTTTAAAATTAAATCTTGACTCAAGCACGACCATGGAATTCTCTATTTCATCCCCACCCTTGCATCCCTTTTCCATGTTATGATATTTTTAGAAGTTGTGATGAAATTTCATGGCAAATGAAAATTGAAACTGACATTTCTGGAATGAACTAGCTTGAAATAAAATGTTTGCGGCTTTTGACTTAAACTGAATGTTGATGTACATCATGTACTTTTATAAAGGAATGAAATAATTATGTGAAATAATATGCCACGGGTAGTTAGTTGATAAGTGGCAAATGAAAATGCCTCAATATTAATTTCATTTCGGGTTAGTTCAGTGGCGTTCAATCTTAAGGATTTAGGGCCGATTTTTTTATCTCTAAATTAAGTTACATCGGTGAGCGGAAAAATTATCGAAAGCCAAAAGGTCGAAGGGGTAAATGATAGAATCGAAATTATAAATAGTACAAAATCATCTAAAGTCCAGATGATCGAAAATTTAATTTATCGAAATTAAAAATCTCGTAAAATCAATTAGTCGAAAGTTCAAATGATCAAAAATGCAATTAGTCGAAAAATCTAAAAGTACAAAAGAAAAGAACAATCATTGGGACCAAGTTGCGATCTTTCATTTGTCATTTTATAACAAAAATTACAAATCGGCTCCCTTGTTAGGGATTCTACAGTCTACATGTAACTTGTAGCTGCAGTAGAAGCACTAGCAACAGCAGCCTGAGGAGCAACGCAAGACCTCAAGATCTTTAAATCTGAATAGGTGAGTTTCTCGTTTCTGCTAAATGCCTCAAATTGAAATTTAACCTTTAAAATATAATTTCTGCCTCTAAATCCAATCTAAATCTTACTAAACCAACTACTTATTTATAGACTGTAATATAATTTTGCTAAAAAGCTTAGCCAATTAAATGATTTTGTAATATTTTTGAACAAACCACAAAAAACTTTTGATTCATAAGAGGAAAATTGCAAGAAGAATTTCAGTGAGCAAAAGAATTTATTATCAAGGCATTAATTTTGTCTTATCCTGAAGAAGGAGTCCTTAATTATTGTCTCAATATAAATGTGATAAAACTTAGTATAAGTAAATGTGTTAAATTAGAAACTTATAGTGAAGATGTAATTGAATTTTAGCTTAATATTTGAATTTAATACTTAAATTTTACTTCTGTCAACCCTCAACCTTTTTATACCTATAATTTTACTATGATTCCTTACAATTATTTGTTTTGTTTCTTTATTTTTAAGCCTGATGAATGGCTATTCGCCAAAACTAGTTATACTTAACAAAAAATAATTCTTTTTACTGTGGAAAAAAAGGCTTTTTTTCTTCCTCCTTTACGCATTATACCACATTTGTGGAATAGACAACTTGCTTCTTTTTAAAAAAATGATACTTTAGCATTTTTCTTAGTATAAATTTATTATCCCTTTGACAATGATTTTTACAACTGAACTATTAGTAACGTTGCCATCTTTAGTGGGAAAAGCCTTGATCGTTTTTCGCATTTCCCCAGAAAGTCCCATATTTTATAAGACTTTTTGTTAGTTTGATGTCAGCTATTACCCATTTAAATTTGTTAATCCTTAACCGTTTTACCCTGAATATTTTACGACCACACAACATATATCATTCTTTTGGACATGTTTTAATTATATTGTAGATTATCATACAATTCAATTTACAAGATTAATTAAAAATGTATATCTAGTTATTAGGATCTATTATTAATGCAGTTTAATATTTCATTATCCAAAACTGCTAGCGAAGCCTTTATTACAAAGTGTTTTTCGTAAAAAAAGTATTCTATTATGTAGGACTTTCATTGTATGTACGTGGGTTAGATGTAAAACAAGTAAGGACGCTTGGTCATTATTATTTTTTCAACAGGAGAATAGATACATATCCTTCCATTGTCGTTTTTCCGACTGTAAAACTATGAAAACGGGTAAGCGAGGGCTTAGAACGCTATAAGAAACTATCCCTTGGGTAAACATGTGTCAGTCATTTCGTAGAGGTAGGTTTAAAATGTAAATTTGCAAAACATTTACTACTACGAAATAAAAGTACTTGCTTGCATGTGGCTTTAAATAAAACTAAATATTTTTCTCTCTCTATATGCAAAACTTATGAGAGTGTTGAAGTTGATGATCTGGAGAAATCCTAAATTAAAATATAATCAATCAAAAAATATATTACATTAATAAATGATTAAAAAAAAAAACTATAGAAACCGAAAATCTAGGAATGCTAACTTTAACAGACAGTGCCTGTAATGGCTGAGGGATTCACAGGATTACGATTGATCCTCAGTATCCATTCAATTTCCGTTCACATCAATTTATTTGATATCTCTGTCAATAGCACGAGTCCTTTAAATATCATTGATTAAATAATAAATCTACTAAGTTTCTACGAGGTTTGTTTTAATGATTTTGCGTTTTAAACAGATGGTGAAGTAATAATCGTAGCAGGTAGGGAAGTTTTATAAATTGTTAAGTTTTATGAAGGGGTCATCAAGATCTTATTCCATTAAAGTTTTTAAAAAAACGTGGTACAGAATTAGCGAAACATCTTGTATATCGACATTTAGCCATAATATGGGATTAATTTAAAAGAGAATTTTAATTGAAATATTGCAAACAAAATTTAAAAAAAGTTTAATTATTTTCACAATTAAAAAAAAGATTTAATAAACCCAACACTGGTTATCAGTTCTAGAGTTAATATTTACATTTTTCGTTTCCAGCGTTTTCTCTTTATAATCCAGCACCATGGCGGTATCTACTCGTTTCCACATCTCTGTCTTTATATCGTCTTGAATCTTAAACTAATATATTCATAATTCACTTTACAATTTAACTGGATAACTTCAGTTATTAAATTTATCTTTATAACTGATTTATAGATTTAAATTCAACGGAATTAGAACTGGAGGAAGATGATAAAAATGATTTAATTTTTATATTAATATACAGTATGGTATGTTAAATTAGGATTTAATAGACACTAATTTTATGCGTAAAAAATGTGTCATGTGTCATTGCGTCAAAGTTAGGAGAAATATTTTTCTTCCTATAGAAAGACAAAAATATAATAAATTTTATT